AAATATTAATATTTCAGTTATAATATAATTAAAAATTATAATTATAATATATTATATTATATCATCATTATTATATTATATTAAACAAATATATTATAATTAATATATTATATAACCATAATATGTGTAATACACTATAATATATAATAATATTAGAATTATAAGATTATATTAATATTTAATTATGTTTCTTACACTTAAACAGGTTGGAGAAGAAAAGAATGGGTCTAAGTGCAATTTCCTAACTTTTGGGGTCTTTTTTGCAAAAATCCTCAAAAAATATCTCTTTTTGGCTTCTTGTACAAGCTTGGCCGGCCACCTCTCTAAACAAATAGCATGATCTCAGCCTTCTATCCAAAAAGTCACTTTTAATCTCAACCATTGATCATTTAATAATTATCCTATTTTCGTTCGGCTTAATTTTCTGTCCAGTGCGTGTTTTATCTATGTTTCTCAGACAGTTGGTCAACTTAGTCAACTTTGACAATTCTTGACTAACTTTTTGAGAGTGACGTTTTGGTCGACTCTTGGTCAAACAAACTTTGACTCGGTCCACTTAAATCAGTCGAAACCCCAATTTTCTCAGTTCGACCTTCCGAACCCATCTTTCATCCGTTTTTCGTTCTGATTATTTCTAAAACTCTAGAATTGATGTTTTTAAATTCTTTTTCACTTCTTAACTTTAATGGTATGTTTACCTACACGTAATCGGAATGAGCATGAATCGGAGTGGGTAGGATTCGGAGCGAGGAATCAGAGTCAAAATAAGCTGTTTACTTAGTGATAGGATTCAGAATCGGAGTCATTCTAAATCTCATTCATACGTTTACTTACACCCAGAATCAGAATGAAAAAGTGTAAAAGTACTAATATACCCTTTAAATCAATTTGATATTTTCAATTTAAAAAAATATAATGTACTTATTATATTAAAATTAATCATAATTAAAATATTTTGTCTAATAATTGGGTACTAAAATAATAAATATAAATTGTGCAACTATTTAAAATATAAAAATAAATTTTAAATAAATTTGAAATAAAATAAATTAAAATAAAAAATAGTGTTAACAAATAAAATATATTATTAATTTATTAAAAATAAAGTACATATTTATTATATTAAAGTTAACAATAATTATGCTAATATTATAATATTAGGCAAATAAAATAATAAATATATGTTGCATTTATTATTTTTTGAATTTTATTTTGAATTGTGTATTTATAAGTAAAATAAGGGTATAATAGTAAATTAATATTAATATTAGGAATGAGAGTCTCAATCCCAAGGGGGGGCATGGGAGTGCCAATCCCATTCCTCAATCCCAAATTTAAGTGGGGTCCACCAATCTCACTCTCATTTCAGGATAAAAAAGAGCAAGCAAACATGGAATTGACTCCCATTCCCCACTCCTATTCTTCAATCCTGATAAGTAAACATGCCATAAGATTCATGTGTTGGCCCACTTGTGAGTTTAACACAGTATTCTGCACATACTTTCTTATTGCAGTTTGAAAGTCGATAACAATATCTTACCTAATTTAAATTTTTAATTGCTTACTTGATGTCATCTTGCTTACATAAGTAAGGTTTAGTAGACACTTGGTAATCACCCAGTGATGTTCTATTCTTATAGCTATTCCTATTACTTTATACTGACTTTTGGAAATTTACCTAGTTGACAGAAAATTTCAGTTCCCGACTTTGTCAACTCCTGAACTCATATTGCATCTGAATTTCTTTACTGAAACACTACCCCTTTAATTTACTTTTATCTGTTTAGAAATTAAGGGTTTTCTCTTTAAATGTCAGAGCGTTTCTCTATACAATGCTAACATTATACTGCACTAAGAGATTCCTAAGATTAGGATTCTCCAACTGTATATGCACTGAGAATTCTTCCGCCTTAATTGCGGTAAGAATTTATCAACTGAATTTACTTGTTCTTAAAATATGAACTAATCATAAAACATGCTACAGAATTTAGGAATACTGATATTAATTCAATAAATCCTCCGGTCACAAAATATGACAGTATATTACTGAGAAAAGTCATTGACTTAAATAAATAAATTTACATTATTTAATTTTAGAATTTTCTCGGTCATTACACAATGCTCATTGTTTTAGGCTGTATCTTTTTCACTTGTCTTTGGCTGGCCTATATTCTGTGTTTAAGACATTGTTCACAGAGTTACAGGTACTGTTATTAACCTTTACTCATATATTTTTATTATATATTATTGGTATCAAATGTATTGATTTTCTTTGCTACTGTTACTTCCTGTTGTTTATTACAGTGCTTAAAAAACATGCATTTGTTGTTATGATTATTTTTTTTCTGTTTTATTGTTCTATACTTATGATATATTGATTTCTTATTAATTTCTTCTATAGTCACATAGATATATATGTGCCTTTTTTCAACACATTTTATCTTTATTTGCTTCTGACGCGTGGCAATGATGATTATAGTCAATTTTGGCTTCTTCAATCCCATTTAATCTGCCATCGCCCAGCTAAGAGGACAGACAAAAATCTTCCAAATATATTTTCAACAAAGAGGAGCACAAATGACTGCAGTTGTTTCAAAAATATTTAATGACACTGAACCTGCAATAACACTACCACAAATACCAACCACCACTGCACCAACAACAAGGTACAACATATCCTCTAATTTAAATCAATTATACATAAAAAAAAACATTTATTACTTCGAATGGACATTTAAATAATATTTTACCATTTCAGGCCCTGCTCAGAAATAACAACATCAACTCTAGTCTCGATTCACCCACAGACACCAGACCCAAAAAAATCTACTACAAGGTAAAATCTATTTACCAATTTACATTATTTATCAATACAAAAAATAACTTTCATCATTTTAAACACAAATTTTAACAACCTTTTATTATTTCAGTTCCCAACCAAAAGAAGCAGAGCACTCCAAAAAACGCTCAAGAACCGTGTAATATAACTACTTTTAAATAAAAATATTTCAGATTTCCTCAATGATAATTGCTATTTTTTCTCAAAATTTGTCTTGCAGCTAAAAAAATCCTGCAAAAAAAAAAAAAAAAACAAGGACAAACCGTCAACAACATTGCAAACAACTTTTTACAACAATATTATGTAAATATGTACATATAAATTAACTATATACTATAAACATTATCACTTTCCTATCACTTCCATGTATAATATAAAATTATGTATATATAAACTAATTATGTACTATAAACATGACCACTTCTCTCCGTCACTTCCCTGTATAATATAAAACAATCGCCAGCCGCAATGCGCAGGCATATAGCTAGTATTTTTTATATATTAAAGGTATTTTGAACTGCTTTAAAAAATTAGGGGTACTTTAAATAGAATACATAATTCGGGATAATTATGAAAATAATCCAAAAAAAAAAAAAAGCTTACTGTTACTAACTCAGAAACGACAGCAGCAAAATGAAGACGACAACAAGTATGAAAACGACAGATTGAAAGAAACAACTTGAACTTGAATAGACGACTGTATCCACAAGATTAACAACATATTAAGGAAATTGACACCAGACTGAGAGCTGACAGGATACTTCAACGACATAAAAACCTCACACGACATAAGATTAACAAAAGACAACATCTTTAAACTGGAAACAGACAAAATATATATATATATATATATAATGATTGGAAACTAAGAAATGACGATTGCAATAAGATGAAACAAATAAGGAAAAGTCAAAAATCGACCCAAAAAGGGTAACACAAGGAAAAGGACAATTGTTAAGGAATTTAGAAACGACCAGACACCAAAACACCATCGAACATGAAAAACGACGTAAAAAACTAGTAAGGCATGAAACTTGACAAACGACTACACCAGCAACGAAATTTGGAAACGACATGAAACTGTAAAGCCAACTAGATATTTGAAAAAAAAAGGAAAAAAAAAAAAGAAACTGTAAAGCCAATAAGATAATTAAAAAAAAAAAAGAAGAAGAAGAAGAAAAAAAGAAAACGGTAGCAAACTGAGAAACGACATAATCCTCAAAACGATAAAACACTGAAAACGACATGAAAAGTAAAGGCGAAATGAAAAAGGAAAACGACGAAAATTTTATGAGACGACAATTTGACGAGAACGACTGGTAACATGATAGACGACAGAAAGGAAAAACGTTAACAAATTGAAATTGAGATACAACAGATCTCTAAAACGACAACAAGCATGAAAGACTAGACAGAAAGCGAGAACATATTTGGGAGGGACAAATTCTATGGAGGACAATAAGATTTTGAATACGATATGCAACGTGAAAAACAAATTTTTTTTTTTTTTTTAAAAAAAGGAAGGAAACTTCAATAAACGAATGAAAAAAGAAAAGGGCATTTCAAAACAACATAAATCTTTACAGAGGGCATGAAAACCAGATTTAGAAAATCCTGAAAACGACAACAAAACCTAATGCTAAAGGAAACCTAATGCCTCACGAAAAAATAAATCCATCACGTCACGCAATTCTTTTGCACTGATGATTCATGCTAAAAGGAAAGCTTCAAGAATCAACTCCCAGCTTTTAGAAGTCATCGCTTAAACGATAAATTCTTATTAATCGATAAATGAATTGTAACATTAAAGAATTAAAAAAAGGAATTACAAGAATGTTACTTCCATGTAATGCACTTTGCAGGTCACATCCTACATAAATTAAAACAGCCGGCACAGAGAAGCAGGTAATGAAAACAAGTGCTTCTCGGTGAGTGAGTCAGTAAACTGCAGAGGTTACAGTTTTAACTCAATTTATGGCCGAAATAAGACGACTACTTGCCGACGCGCGTCTCTAGCGGCTTGATTTATCATTTTGGGTAGAGTTTGTGGGGCTTGAAATACCAGTAGTCTCGAGGTTGGCATTTGCAGGACAGACAGAAGCAAATTGACAGACCCGACATTTCCACCGCTCTTCTTCGGGAGTGAACCTTGCTTCGCGCTCTCCTCGCCAGAACTCAAGACTACCATTAATTTGTTTCTTGAGCCAATCCGAGTCATGTGTGAATTGATCTTCACCGAGCACTGAATTATCTTGTTGGCATTCATACCTGTTTGGAAAGAACGATGTGCAGTTATAAACATCTCTCAAGAAAGAATTGCGCAAGTTGGAGTCATGGTTTGCTATAGCCAACATGTAGACGTCAAATAAGCAAAATGCATTTACTAACTCTCTGCCCTGATAATGTGATTCAGGATTCGTATCAGAACTTATGAAGTTAAACAAATTCCAAGAATCTGTAACAACATTTTTTAGTATTTGGTAGGGAATCTTCACACATAAATTAGCAATCCAACCTACAAAATGGTATTTGACTTTTACCTTAATAACAGCTGATCTTGAGCAGGGGGAAGCATGCTACATGTATTTTTGTAGTACCTCACCATATCCTCAAGGGTCTGTTTAATTAAGATGAAATAGGGAAACTATAATCACTTGCATTTTCAAGTAAAAAATATAGTTACCAAAAAAAAAACAAAACAAAAAACCTCGTACTTATATGTATTGAAAACTGATAAGGCTGATAAACCGTTGCTTAAACAGGTTTATATTAGGAAAGGGAAGAAGGAGTGACGTGGAGTTAAGAGTGTCGTTAGTAGTTAGTTAGCTGAGTTTTTGTACATTGTGGGGGGGGGTACCATAGGGGGGTTGTCGTGAGTAAGGACGAGAGGGAAATAAATAGGCCAGTGGTGGGATTAGAAAGGTAGGAAATTACTGGAGTCTGTTTGGGAAGTCTTGGCTGAAGCTGAGCAAGGGAAGAGAGAGAGTGTCGATAGTTAGTCTGTAAATTCGTTTGGTTCATCAATAAAGATTACATTTTTCATTCTTCTTGATTCGTTTCTGTGGGAACACTACTCTGTTCTATCATTTTGGTATCCGAGCATTGATTCTGGCTAAAATGGCGGCTAGGAAAACTGATGAAAGGTTCGAACTGGTGGAAAAAGAGATCAAGGAAGTTAGGGTTTCCATGGAAAAAGGAATTGGCGATATGGAGAAAGGGCTCGGGGAGGTTAGGGTGGAATTATCACAGAATAGGTCGGATCTGTCCGAGATTCGCCGGTTAATGGAGGAACAGGTGAAACTTCTGTCGGCATCAACGTCGGCGCCGGAGAAGACGGTCGCTCAAACGGCTACAACCGAGGTGGATCTCGGAGTGAATCGCGCCGGAGAAGGCTGCGAGGTGAATCGCACAGGTGAACGCGGAGCTAATCGCACCGGAGAATACCGCGAGGCGAATCGCGATGGAGATCGCGCAGTGATTCGCGCCGGGGAAGTTCGTGAGGCGAACCGTGCCGGCGATCACGTGGAAATACGCGCCGGAGAGGAAAGGTCGATTAACCCTAGGGTGTCGCAGAATGTGCTGTGTCCAGTGGGAGACTCTGGTTGGCGTGAGCAAGGCGTAGATCGGGCGGCGGATTTAAGGATTCCACGGAATCCTAGTCGCGATGGGAGGGAGGATTGGCGCGGGCTGGCTAGGGGGGCTCCTTTGGGTACCCAAGGGAAAAATTGGAATGGGCATCATGGTGAGGGGCGTGGATTTTTCGTGGAAGGGGAGTCCATGGAGTTCGATGAACGGCGGAATGGGACAGGCGGCCTTGTTCACCGAGGAGTGGAAAGGGGAAGGAACCCTATCGTTGGAGAACGTTATAGAGAAGGCTAGGAGGGCAGAGGCGTCTTGGAGGAGTTGCCGGTAAATGAGGATTGGGCGGCCCTTCGTCGGCGACAGGTGGAGTGTCCCATCTTTGGCGGAGATGATCCCGATGGCTGGTTATTCTGTATGGAGCAGTTTTTCTCCATAAATCATTGCTCGGAAAGGGAAAAACTCATTACCTCGGGAATTTCTTTGGAGGGAGATGCCATGTCTTGGTTCTAATGGCAGAATGGCCGCAGACCTTTCCATAACTGGTCGGAGTTTAGGGCTGCAACGTTTTCGTTCTTTGCAGGAGGGCAATCTTTGCGAGAGGTTTTTGGCGATACGGCAAGTAGGAACGGTGGCCGAATATCGCAGGCAATTTGAAGTTTCAGCAGCAATTGCCCCACTAAGGGATGTGCCGGAGGAGGTCTTGGAAGGAATTTTCGTAAATGGGCTAAGGCACAGATTCGGGTTGAAGTGAGGCTCTTGAAACCGGTGGGGTTAGGGGAAATCATGGAGATTGCTTAGAGAATTGAAGAAAAAAATGATTTGCTGCGTCGTGAAACAAGGTTTTCCCGACCACAATTCCATAGTGCTCAGAGGGCTGAGTTTTCACCAACTATTGTTAGGACGGTGCCGGTGGTGGAACGACCACAGCGGAGCCCTGCTGCGATGGAGAAAACAGCAACTCAAAGATGGGATTTTCCATTTCATAAGTTGTCGGATTCTGAGTTGCAGGAGAAGAGAGATAAGGGGTTGTGTTTTAGGTGCGATGAGAAGTTCACCTTTGGTCATCGTTGTAAGAAGAAGGAGCTTCAGATAATGCTCGTTAGCGATGAGGATGCAGCCCAATGCGGATGACCCAGTTTTGCCAAGTTCGGAATGGGAGGAGGGGCAACCGGAACTCATCGAGTTGTCTTTGAATTCAGTGGTAGGACTCTCGACGCTAAAGACTATGAAGCTTCGAGGCACAATTGCTCGGCAAGAGGTAATAGTTCTAATTGATTCATTGAGTCTTGTGGAGAGGTTGTTGATTCCGATTGCACCCACTGCGGGTTTTGGGGTACAACTAGGAACGGGAGAATCGGTTAAAGGAAGAGGCATTTGTAGGGAGGTAGCATTGAAATTAGCACATTTGACCATAGTGGAAAATTTTTTGCCGCTGGAATTGGGGGGAGTGGATGTTATTTTGGGCATGCAATGGTTAGAAACATTGGGTGGGGTGCATGTGAATTGGAAGTCTCAGGTTATGAAATTCAGGGTGAGAGGAGAAGCGGTTACCTTGAGGGGAGACTTGAGTCTTTCCACCACGATGATTTCCCTTAAGGCCATGGTTAGGACCATTAAGCATGAGGGCCATGGCATCTATTTAGAATTGAGTGCTTTGGATGCCAACAAGGAACCAGATTTGGGTGCAATGGGGGAATTGGATAAGCAATTTCAAGGGCAGATTAGTAAGGTCTTGCAGCGCCATTCGAGGGTTTTACACGTGCCGGAGGGGCTTCCTCCCCAAAGAATGCGTGATCATCGCATTATCCTTCAAGAGGGGACCGCTCCTATTAGTATCCGACCTTATAAGTATCCTCATTTCCAAAAGAATGAGATTGAGAAATTGGTAAGGGAGATGCTTTCAGCGGGTATCATACAGCCGAGTAGCAGTCCATTTTCAAGTCCAGTTCTTTTAGTTAAAAAAAAGATGGTAGTTGGCATTTTTGTGTTGACTACCGGACACTTAACAAGGCTACAGTTCCCGACAAGTTTCCCATTCCAGTTATAGAAGAACTTTTGGACAATTGTGTGGGGCCACCATCTCTACTAAACTGGATTTAAAATCCGGTTACCATCAAATTCGGATGTGCAAGGAAGATATTCCAAAAACGGCTTTCTGAACGCATGATGGTCACTACGAATTTTTGGTTATTCCCTTTGGGTTAACCAACGCCCTGGCCACTTTCCAATCTCTCATGAATGAGGTATTGAAACCTTTTTTGCGAAAATTTGTGTTGGTATTTTTTTATGACATTTTGGTTTATAGTAGAACTCTTGAGCACCATGTCAACCATTTGGATGTAGTTTTGTCCGCTTTAGAGGACAACCACTTATATGTGAACCAAAAGAAGTGCATTTTTGCTAGTAGTAAATTGGAATATTTGGGCCACATGGTGTCTGGAAAGGGGGTTTCGGCTAATACTAGTAAGATTCAAGCAATGCTAGATTGGCCCACCCCACGTTCTATCAAGGAGCCGCAGGGTTTTCTGGGGTTGACCGGGTATTATCGGCGCTTTGTGTCGGGGTATGGGCACCTTGCTTGGCCGTTGACGCAGCAACTAAAGAAGGACAATTTTCATTGGACTAGGGAAGCGGAGGACGCCTTTCGGGAATTGAAGCTGGCCATGACCACAGTTTTAGTTTTGGCACTGCCGGATTTTTCCCAGCCATTCGTCGTGGAATCGGATGCGTCGGGGTTTGGGATTGGCGCGGTCCTGATGCAACATCAGCGACCCATTGCCTATTTCAGTCAAGTGTTGTCATCTCGCGCGCGTACAAAATCTGTTTATGAGCGCGAGCTCATGGCAGTGGTCCTCGCCATTCAGAAATGACGCCATTATTTATTGGGGCGCCATTTCATTGTGCGTACGGACCAAAGGAGCCTTAAGTTTTTGCTGGAGCAGAGACTAATCAGTGAGGACCACCAGAAATGGTTATGTAAGTTGTTGGGTTACGATTTTGAGATTCAGTACAAGCCGGGATCTGAAAATCGGGTGGCTGATGGGGCTGAGATTTGTCAACAAATTCAACAGGACCCCCGGCTGGCTTCGATTCGGGCTGCTCTCTGTGCTCAATCCGCAACGGTGAAGGGGTTTTCCTTGTACAATGGCATGTTCCTGTACAAGGGAGGGGTTGTCCTACCCCGGCAGTCTCCTCTCATACCGGTCCTCTTGGCAGAGTTTCATGGCAGCAAGATTAGGGGGCATTCGGGAATCTTAAAGACATTTAAAAGGTTGTCTTCGGAATTTTTTTGGTATGGCATGAAATGAGATGTAGTATCCCTGGTGGCCGCTTGTCAAGTTTGTCAACTAAACAAGGCTTCCACCTTGTCTCCAGGGGGATTATTGCAGCCTTTGCCTCTTCCGAATCAGGTATGGGATGATATCTCCATAGATTTTGTGGAAGGTCTTCCAAAATCGGCAGGGAATGACTCTATTTTAGTGATTGTTGACTGGCTGAGTAAGTATGCCCACTTTTTGGCTCTCTGTCATCCTTTTTCTGCGAAGTCGGTGGCTGCTATGTTCGTTAAGGAGGTGGTTCGGCTCCATGGGTTCCCTTGGACTATTGTCTCCGACCGTGACAAAGTTTTCCTCAGTCATTTCTGGACAGAGCTTTTTAAATTGCAGGGAACTTCTTTACATCACAGTACGGCTTACCATCCTCAATCGGACGGCCAAACGGAGGTGGATAATAGATGCTTGGAAGCTTATTTACGTTGTTTTGTCTCAGGGAAACCTACCCACTTTGGTTTTCTCATCTTGCTTGGGCCGAATATTGGTATAATACGAGCTTCCATGTGTCCGCGGGAATGACTCCTTTTCGGGCTTTGTATGGTCGTGATCTACCCAAATTATTACGTTTTGAGTTAGGCTCTACAGCTAATTCTTTGTTAGAGCAGCAAATGCAATCACGGGATGCTATTTTGGATGAGCTTCAGGCACATTTGTTGCAGGCACAACAATCTATGAAATGGCAAGCGGATCTTAAGCGTAGGGATGTGTCTTTCGAGGTGGGGGACTTGGTGTTTCTAAAACTCAGGCCATATCGCCATCGTTCCTTAGCCAAGTTCTCCAATGAGAAACTCTCTCCTCGGTTCTATGGTCCCTATAAGGTGATCACGCGTGTCGGCTCCGTGGCGTATCGTTTGCAACTACCCGCGGCTGCTAAAATTCAACCGATTTTCCATGTTTCGCAACTAAAGAAGGCCATTGGCCTGTCTATGCCGGCTCAAGAGGTTCCGCGTAGTCTAACCGAAGACATGGAGTTACGCGTCGAACCGGAGAGGCTGCTAGCCACTCGTTTTTCCCCGGTGACTGGGCAATTGGAGGCTTTGCTTCAGTGGTGTCACTTGCCGGACTTTAAGGCTTCTTGGGAACTTTTCGATGTCATTCAACAACAGTTTCCTGAATTTCACCTTGAGGACAAGGTGACTTTTTTGGGGGGCGGAGTAGTTGATAAGGCTGATAAACCGTTGCTTAGACAGGTTTATATTAGGAAAGGGAAGAAGGAGTGATGTGGAGTTAGGAGTGTCGTTAGTAGTTAGTTAGCTGAGTTTTTGTATATTGCGGGGGGGTACAGGGGGGTTGTCGTGAGTAAGGACGAGAAGGAAATAAATAGGTCAGAGGTGGGATTAGAAAGGTAGGAAATTACTGGAGTCTGTTTGGGAAGTCTTGGCTGAAGCTGAGCAAGGGAAGAGAGAGAGTGTCGATAGTTAGTCTGTAAATTCGTTTGGTTCATCAATAAAGATTACATTTTTCATTCTTCTTGATTCGTTTCTGTGGGAACACTACTCTGTTCTATCAAAAACCTCAAGAAGAGAGAATCTTTTACCTTTGCAGGGAACCCCAAGAGGGCAGTTCTCTTAACAATGTCTTCAGATAAGATAGCATAGGGAATCAAGGAGAAATAGTCAAAGAATTTTTTGGTGGGGAAATTATCAGCGATTAAATTGTCCCACATATGCTTGTAAAACATTAATTGAAGCCTGCAAAAGAAGACATGCGTCATGACTATTATAGTGCATTTCATCATCAACCGAAACAAAAAAAGTTAAACCAATAGCACAAATACCTTCCATTTCGTCGTTGTGGTTCGGAAGGAAGCGTAGGTCGAACACGAGTCTTCGTGTCAACTAGTATCGGGTTTCTTTCAGTTTCTGTTCCGGGCATTCGAATCTCATCAATCACTCCCACCATCCATATACCTTCCATACAAGTTATTCTGATATCATAAGCAAGTAGACCTTATCAGTAAAGGAAAAGGTGAAAGCTAGCTCTTTTACAGTTCGAATCAAAAGGACTAACTTACAAATGTTGGAAACTTACAGTGGTAGCTCACGAGTCAATCCGTCAGACAATAATTGATTCACACCAGTTATAAAATTTAAAAGCTTCAAAGCCCATCTATCTTCATCTGATTCCACACGAATTTTGACTTTCTTTACAACCTGGAAAGAAATTAAAATCAAGATCCTGTAAGCATATGAGTCACTATCTGAAATGTGCTAGACAAAATGGATATACATTGAAAGACGTAACAAAACAAGAATTAAAAACCAAATTTGTCCAGTAAATGTTTATGCAGCAAAGGTAGAAATGGAACCATTTAAACGCTACAAATTACAATAATTCTGAAATTCACGCAAAAGAAAGAAGTTTCATCTATAAAATTGCAAAGTCAGGATTCCAAAAATGTACCTCTTCCTCAAGTTCTGCATGGCGAGCAATACCAATTTTCATAGCCCTACTGACTTTTCGGTTGCCTAGGAGAATAAACTCCATTCGTTTTTCGCACCATTCCTGTTGTTAAGACGAAAGTAATTAAGGGGCGTTTAGTAGATGGATCCAGAATCATAATTCTGAATCTTGGTTTATAATCAGTGTTTATTTACAGTGATTTTGAATCATGATTATGAATCAGTGTTTGGTTTGGATGATTCTGAATCATAATTCAAACTCTGATGTGATGTTTTAAACTAGCTCAAATCATGATTCTAAAACCACCATTCCTCTTGATTCAAGTGATTCAAACCCTTGATTCTTAATCATGGTTTCATAATCATGTTTTGAACCTAAAATCATGAATTGTAGTTCTGATTTTAAAATCATGATTAGAATCACCCTAGTTTAAATCCTCGTACCAAAGAATAGACCTAAATCACATTTGGAGATTTTCACATAAAAGTAAAGAAAAATCAAATAAACATTTAGAAGACAAAAGACTCGTGTTTTCCTACAGAAAATTTGTGAAACGTCACAAACAACACAATAACAAGATGCCTAACTTCCCATATTAACATATCCAAAGACCAAAACCAATCTTATGACCTTCAAAGCGACAGCCAGATGTAATAAACGACAAAAAATCATAAACACAACCGGAAGCAAAATATGAACAACAAAAAACCGAACCCAATTGGAAATCTTAAAGAAAAAGAGAAAACCCAGAAAATTAAATCACCGTGGATGTCATATCAGTGGCGGACAAGCCCCTGTTCTTCCTAAACCGAAGCAAGTACGAATCGGGCAAGCGGGTCTTCTTCCGGGCAGTCCTGAAATCCTCCATATCCGGTTGCTCTTTGGAAGCCGGAAAGCCTCTCTTCGAGAGAGCGGTGATGGAATGCACGGACCTCACGTTGTTGTGGAAGTGAGAGTGAGAGGACGCGAGACATGAGCGAGCGACGGCCATTGCCATCGCAGCTTCAAGCAGCGCCATCTCTTCCTCGCTCACGATCTCGATGGGGATTTCGGGAACGCTTCTGCTAAAGTTATTGTTGTTGTCGCTGGTCGGGGCAGACCCAGAGTCCGATTCGGAGGCTGACTCGCTCATCTTGGACGACCCGGTGAAGAAATGTGACCGTTGGAATCGCCACGCTTCGAGAGCAAGTCATTCTTCTGCCTCTCCGGATTTCTTGTTGTTGTTTTTTTTTTTTTTTGGGAAAAAAAAATTTGGGATTGTTTCGTGTGTTGCTACTCACATGGGAATGTAAAAGGTCCGTGTTTCTCGCTCTTATCCTCTTCTATTTTCTATTTTTACTTTTGCACTACTTTTTAAAAATAATAATAATAATAAATAACGATCAATTTAATTTCGCATGATATTTGAATTTAGATTTTTTTTTTCTCTGAAATGTGTTATCTTTTTTTTTTCTGAAAAAAGGTTTAAACTAATCTATTTATTTTTATTTACATATATTTTTTTTGGAGAATCTATTTATTTTGTATCTTTTACTCGTTTATTGGTATTAGATTTAAAAAAAAAAAAAAAAAAAAAAAAAAAAAAAAAAACCTAGCCGTACCTATTTGATTCCATCGATTTCTCAATTGGCTATTTTTTCAGGTGGCTCCACAAAATTTTGCAGGGGGCTTTGGGTTGCTTTGATTAAAAGTGATGAAAGATTATTGTGGTGTGAGTGATCAGATGAAAGCATAAACAAATATGTTTTCTGCAACGCCAAGTAAGCTCACAATTCACATGGTTCCTTCATTTGCAAGATAAGCGGACTTAGAGCCAATTTGATACATGAATTCAAATCAGGATTCTAACCAGAATTTTTAATTAAATTTTTTATAAGAAAAAAATACTATAACAAAATCAAAACTATAAATCTACAATACAAGAGACCATACCAAACATACACTAAGACAGCCATTCAAAACGTGTGGTTTTCGTGCTCTACCCGCATCTTCTTTTTTTTTTTTTTTTTTTGACCCCTTGGTCTTCTATGTTTTCGGCTTTTCCCCAATGCTCACAATATTGACGAAAATGCTACTAAGTTCGCTTGTAGCGAAATGGCTTAAAACAACTTAGCTTAGGCATGTAAGTAACAGGCTTCGAACGGATTTTTAAACAGGACAAATCTCTTATAATATATAGATTGAGACTTTGATTTCTTATTACTAGAATTTAAATTTAGTATTCAGATTTTAATTTATTTTTATAGAATATTAATAATTACATTGTTGAATTTTCTAATTAAGTTAATGAAATTTTCTTTGAGATTTAAAAATGTTGTAAGCATTTTTTAGACTTTAAAGAAAAAATAAGTAAATAAATAGGGTATGAGGTATGTAGATAGTTTCTCTATTAGGAATTTTTCGATCCCAATCTCCTCAACTCCGCATTAAATTAGGTAGATAGGAGGTGGGTATAGGGGTGGGGAAAATATACCCACCCCACCCCACCTCCGTCCCTTTATCCTTCTTAAATAAAAAAATTACTTAAAATTAAGAAAAAAATCTGATAAGACATGCATTTTTATTTAATTTATAAAAATTATTTTAGAACGAGTTTTAAACGCGCATAATAATTTTTAAAAATGTATTTAGTAATTTTATTAAGAGATTATTTTTAATGTAAAAAAAACTCATTAATGTCTCTCTTTTTCTCTCTCTCTGTGCTCGAGAGATGAGAAAACGAAAATAAAAAATGAAAAATGACTAAAAATCATTTTTTATTTCTCTATCATTTTACACTAAATAAAACATTTTTATTTCTGTTTTTTATCTTTATTGCGTCAAACGTCATTTTGAAAACGTTTTTATTTTTTCTTTCTCGAAAAATGTAAAAAATAAAAACGGTATCAATTTTAAACACGGTCGTTATCTTTAACTGTTAGATTAATTTTTTAATATTTACGTGTCAAAATTAACAACGCGCCAAACCGTTTTTACTCCGGATAAGACTACTCCAACAATTTAAACACAGTTTTCACCGGTGGAACGAAAATAGCTCACTCGACTATAAATGCAAACGCAGTAGGATAATGTTTTCATACCTTGACGTTGAATCCTCATAAGTATTCTCATTGCATGATAAAATATTGTTGAAAATGTTATTAGACAATTAAAACAAAACTCCTGTTGGCAAATGACATAGTGAATATGAAGAAAAGGCTGCCCGTAGCACAACCACGCCAGAGCATTTTTTTGTCGCACGTGGAGAGAGATAAGAAAGTTGATTATTATAGAGGTAGCGATATTCAACCAAAAGACTAGTATATATTATAGTGTCATGGAGCGATCGGATATCTGGTTTGAAATCCCAACTGTCTTAACCAAAACCCGCCAGCAAACCCCCGCTCTCTGCATGAGCCACACGCGTCTCTCTCCTTTCTCTTCATAAACCCCACATCTTCCACGCACCAACACTCAAAACAAAAGAAAAAGAACAAAAAAAAATAATGGGAAGAAGAAGAAGCAGCAGGAGCAGAGCATTGAGCCTTCTGGTTCTGGGCCTTTTGCTGTGCCATGGATTGCTGGGAATGGCGGTGGGCTACGATGAAGAAGAGGAGGATTGGAGGAGGGAAAGGGAAAGGGAAGAAAAGAGGAGGGAAAGGGAGGAGGAAAGAGGAGAGGATTTTGAGCCCTTCTTGTTGAAGGACTCAAAGCATGTGGTGAAGACTGATGCAGGGGAAATGAGAGTGGTGAAGAGTTTCGGTGGTAGATTTGTGCAAGGTCCCATGAGAATTGGGTTTATCATGATGGAGCCCAAGACACTTTTCGTCCCTCAGTATCTTGACTCCAGTTTGATCATCTTCATTCGCAGAGGTATAATATATGTGTGTGTGTAAATATATATGGGCGTATATGTTTTGGTTAATAATTTTGCCTGATTTTGTCGGTTCTTGGCTGCAGGAGAAGCAAAATTGGGGTTTATATACAAGGACCAACTAGCTGAGAGAAGATTGAAGATCGGAGATGTGTATAGGATTCCAGCTGGGTCAGCATTTTACTTGGTCAACACAGGGGAAGGCCAGAGACTTCATATTATTTGTAGCATTGACACTTCTGAGAGTTTGACCTTTGGATCTTTTCAGGTAAGATGGTTTTAACTGTCACATCACATTAGAATCTTATCGGATTAATAATTTTAACTGAACTTGATGAAGATCTCATAGTTAAAAACTGTATCTATCTGTATTTTTATTTTTTGTGCTCGATTAAAGAATTCGCTTCTTTTTATACTCAAACAAATTGTTTTTCTTTTTTGATATTCATTTGTGTTTTTACAGTCTTTCTTTGTTGGTGGAGGAATCAACCCAACATCTGTACTTTCTGGATTCGACTCTGAAATACTCGAGAACGCATTCAACGTAAGCAACCAAACTATTATCAGCTGCAGATTCTTGTTCTGTACAAGTTTTTTTTTTCTGTATTTTTTTTTCTTTCAATACAATGTCGTTTTACAGGTTACACATGCAGAACTGAAGGAGTTCTTGACCAGCCAGCAAGAAGGTCCAATAGTATACATCTCAGACTCTCGCTCACCGAAACTTTGGTCGAAGTTTCTGGAGCTGAAAGAGAGTGAGAAGCTGGAACACCTGAAGAAAATGGTGGGCTTTGATGATGAAGAAGAAGAAGAAGAATATTCTGGTGGTGAGAAAAAAGAAGAAGAAATTTGGTCGTGGAGAAAGTTGTTGGGTTCAGTGTTCTCTAACAGAGAGAAGAGACCTGAAGACGTTAAGGGCAAAGGAAAGTCTCCCGACTCTTACAACCTATACGACAGAAAACCAGACTTCAAAAATAACTACGGTTGGAGTGTTGCCTTGGACGAGACTTCTTATTCCCCACTCAGAAAATCTGGCTTTGGCGTGTACCTTGTCAATCTCACCGCGGTAACCATAATTCATTCTTCCTATTTTGCATCACAGATTTAGTAGACTGACAATCAGTTTCGAATTAATTAAATTTAGCCCCAAGTACAATGTTTCTTATATTAGGCAATATTAGTCCACATATATCATGTTTTACTGCTACAAAAATTTGTTTTGTTTCAAGTTTTGTTTTTGTTTTTGGTGTCTTTTTTTTTATTACAAAAAGAAAACCGTCACATTTTTCGGATTAGTCTCTGCTTTGGACACAATATAGACCAAATATGTTTGAAGGCTTGAATTCAAACGTGATGTTCCTCTAGTTCACACCATTTGTAACTAGGATAATTTGCTTAAAGCGTTATGTATTAATTAAAGTGTAAATGTTAGTAAATGGGTACTAATAATGTATATTTATAACTTATCATTTATAGATTTTAACTTTGGTTCACAGGGATCAATGATGGCCCCACACATAAATCCAAGAGCAACAGAGTTCGGAATAGTGTTAAGAGGGTCAGGGAACATACAAATCGTGTATCCAAACGGGTCTCTAGCGATGAACACCGACGTGAAAGAAGGCGACGTGTTCTGGGTTCCGAGGTACTTCCCGTTCTGCCAGATCGCGTCACGGACCGGGCCAATGGAGTTCTTTGGGTTCTCGACCTCGGCCCGCAAGAACCGGCCCCAGTTCCTGGTGGGGGCCAGCTCCATCCTCCGGTCCATGAGGGGCCCAGAGCTCGCCGCCGCTTTCGGCTTGACTGAGGACAGGCTTCGCAACATCACCGACGCCCAGCGTGAAGCTGTCATCTTGCCGTCGCCAATGGCAGCGCCGCCGATCCAGGCGGAGAAGATTCCTGAGCTTATTAAAACCTTTGGGAGTGATCTTTGATTGTGGGATTCGTGTTTAGAAATAAGCTTTTCTTTTCTTTGGTTTTGTTCTTTGTTCTTTTTTATTTATTCTGTGTAGGGTTCTCGTTTTTTTTTTTTTTTTTTTTTTTTTTTTTGGAGTTGTCATCTGTGTGTTCAGAGTTTGTTAATGAACACTGTTTGTACTTGTATCAGTGTGAATAAGATCAACTTCTGTGTAGTATTTGTCCCCTTTTTGTGTTCTCCATTGTCACGGCGATTCACAGTTGTTTTTTGAAGTGTTTGGAGTGTAGTTTTTGAGTTAAATTTGAGTTTTGAATGTAATTTTTGAGTAAAATTTGAGTTATAACTTGAGTTGAGTTGAAGTTGTAGGCTTTGTTCATTTCACGGATTCGAGTTTTTAGTTTTAAGTTTTTACAGTAAAAAGCTTTCAGAAAATATTACATCAATTTTTTCTGCTACAGTAAAAAGCTCTCAGAAAGTGTCACATCTCAACTCGAATCTGCGAAATCTCAACTCGAATATGCGAAGTGAACGAGGCCGTAACTTGAATAAAATTGAGTCAAGTTGAATAAAGTTAAAATTTAAAAGAATGTAAACTTGAATAAAGTTGAAACTCGAGTTTTTTTTTTGAGTTTTTTAGACAAAAGAACATGCCCTTAATTTTTAAGTGGACGTTAGTTTATGAGTTAAAATTATTCTTATTTTATGTGTGTTTTTTATGAGGGAAAAATATTATAAAAATTTATGAATTATGATACAAAATGAATACAGAAAATAAACATCCCCTAGAGTTTATTTAGTTCTAACAATTCAAACTTTTTTTCTATTATAACTGTATAAATTCAAACTAAGAGTTTATTTAGTTCTAACTTTTTTTCTATTATAACTGTATAAATTTAAACTATTATTTAGATATGTAAATAAAGGTAAATAAATTATAATTTGAATTAAGAATAAAATTTAAACTATTTTTGAATAAAATGTTAAAAATTGTTATTAGAATTCTGTAACAAATCTTATAAAATCTTATTGTAAATGATATTGAAAATATGCAATATAAGTGGGGATTTGTTTCTCTTTTCATTACAAACACATTATGAAAAAACCACACAAAGAGATTATATAATCTTCTTAATCAGAATTAAAATAAATAAGTTAAGATATTTTTAAGATTGAAATTAAAGAGAGAGAAAAAATAGAATTGGGAACTATTTGACTGTTAACAACAATTTATGCCATGTTTGTTTCACAACTCAAACTGTTGGTTAAGATTCAAATCTTAGTTCAGAATTTAAATTGGTGTTTGGGAGAGGAAAATTGATGGACAATTTAAACCATTAACAATGGTTCAAACCATTGATTTTTAGATTTCATCACCCCTTAAATTTTGTGTAAAAAATTTGCCATAAAATATAACATATAGAAAATATGGCACAACAAAAAGCATTCCATTGGAGAGTGTTTTTTGCACTCAAATGTTAAATTTGTAATTAGCACATTAATTATATCATTGCATTATAGATGCTCTAAGAATAACATATGAGAAATTGGACATTTATTACTATTGGTTGAAATGTTTACTTTTTCATGTAATTATTGTAACTTTTGAATTTTTTAATTATTTTAAACATAAAAGTTTACTTTTACAATTTTCAAACCTTAAGAATTATGGAAAAAAATAGATTTAGCATTTCAAATAACATTATGCATTGGATTAAAAATGAAAATAACATATTATATCACACTTTTTGATAGTAAATATATAATTGGTATTAATATTTGCATTGTAGAAGGTCTTAGTTGTTAAATAGTTGTTATCTTATTTGGTTTTTCTTATTTAATAATTGAGTTGAATGTAAACTTGGAGAATGTGTTTTTAATTTTAATTAGGGCATTTTTGTTTTTTACAACTTGAGTTGTAAACTTGAATTGTAAAGTGAATTTTATGTAAAAGAAAATACTATAATAAAAAAATTGAATTTAAATTTATGTGAGAAAATATTGTAGTAAAAAATTTGAATTGTAATTCAAGTTGTAAAAAAAACATGTCCTTATTTATTCCACTTTAAAAACTATTAGCTTTATTCTGTGGTTATCTTTGTGACCTATGAAGACTCTGCTAAATGTAAACATTAGTCAGGTCAATATAAAAGATTTGAATCGAGCAATTCTATAGGCCTCGTTTATTTCACCGATTTGAGTTTTTAGTTTTAAATTTTTACAGTAAAAAACTCTTAAAAAATGTCACATCTCAACTCGAATTGAAAACTCAAATCCGCGAAGTGAACGAGGCAATAGACTAGTATATAGACTCTTGAGTTATATGGGAGGGCAGGAGGCATTGATTCCTCATATAAGCCAGTAAACTCTATCTCTTTTTCTTTTTTTTTTTTTTTAATTTTTCCAAAAGTTGTTAAACATAACATTTTGGTATCAGAGAGCAGGCATATACTAGTGCTTCAGATTAAAACATTTACGGAGAAAGTAAGGACATTGATGAACGTTCCGCAAACAAGGACAATAGTAGATTAGGTTCTCTCAACAACTACGTTCTTAAGGCCTCGAAGATCGATTGGGTTGGGAAAACTAAGAGAAAAATCTTGTCCCACGCGAGGAAGATAGGAAATTATAGTCTCCTCTGAGTTCTATAAAAAGGCTCCTCATTAAATCAGAAACATGCTACTTCAAGTAATTCAGAGATAATTAAATATTCATCAATAAAAGTTAGATCTCAGAATAAAACTCAAAAAGCTTGTAACAAATAAGAAGAAAAAAAAGGTAAATATCACATAAGGATAAGGTTAAGAGATGAACATGTGAGAAAAGAGAGAGCAGAGAGGACACTGATATAGATCAAGCTACAGTACGCACGTGGTTAAAAATAATAGTAAAATACAAAACAGAATTATCTAAGGCCTATGACATAGAAACTATATACAAGACATTTACAAATAGGCATATTTACGTCCTAATACTAATAACTGTTTTGTAATCAAAAGTTAGTTTAGTTGTTAGTTTTAGAACACATATTAGCTTGTTGTTGCTTAATTAATGAAGTTCTCTAGTTCATTGTTTTTATCTTTAGCAGTAAAATCCTAATATATATATATATATATATATTTTAAAAGTAAATCACAAAAATATTAAACGACAAAATGTTACAAAAATAACAAAATGGATAGAACAAAAAACGGCAATAAGGAGAAAAACACATGAAGCAGGAGAACGACATGAGTGAAAAATTAGGCGAACGACAAAAAGCTGGTGAAGCAAACAATAAAATAGCATGGATTAAACGGAAAAATCTGGAGAATAACAAGTTGGAGACCTAAAACATAGTACAACAATGATAAAAATAAACGGCAGAAAAGGTACGAACGACAGTGATGGTAAACACTAATGAGTTGTTCTTTTGGAGTGTAATTTGAGTATAATTTTTTAGTTAAATTTGAGTTATAATTTGAGTTGAAGTTAGAACTTAAATAAAGTTGAGTAAAATTAAATAAAGTTAAAATTTAAAAGAACGTGAACTTGAATAAAATTAAAATTTGAGTTGTATTTTTTTTGAATTTTTTAGACAAAAGAACATTAAAAATATTCAAAACAACAAGAAACGCAGAAAAAAATAATAAATAAATAAAACAATTGAAAATGAGGCGAACACAAGAAATGAAAGAACTATAATTAAAAGAACGTGAACTTGAATAAAATTAAAATTTGAGTTGTATTTTTTTGAATTTTTTAGACAAAAGAACATTAAAAATATTCAAAACAACAAGAAACGCAGAAAAAAAATAATAAATAAATAAAACAATTGAAAATGAGGCGAACACAAGAAATGAAAGAACTATAAAAAAAAGAATAACCCGTTAAAAAAAAACTACAATAAAAATAAAACGTAAGAAACGATAAACAAGGGTAAAACGGTATAAAATAAAACGACAAGCAACAAAAACGACAACAAAAAGTGAATGAGCACCAAAAAAACTAGGAAAAAGGAAAAGCATTAATCACGAAATCGAAATGGTTGTTCATCATATTTACCCTTAATCTCATTTTTATTCCTGATTTTTAAAATGTTTCGCAATTAATTGTTAATCTATTACTTTATTACACTTTTGATCTTTTAATTAGTTATGTATTAAATATTTGACAACTCATGTAGAATTAGAGACTAAAGATTGAAATATCTAAACTTTAGGAACTATTGTGGATATTAACTTTTACTTTGTGTATTATTTGGATCTCTAAACTTTAAATAATTTTAATTTTAATTTTTAAATTTTATATATTATGTAAAATATTTAACATTGCGAAAGAATGAAAGTAAAACAAAATAATAGATTAAATTAAGCACTAATAGACGTTTTAAAAATTAAAAATTAAAGTGAAATTGAGAATAAATTTATGAAAGTAAAACAAAATAATAGATTAAATTAAGTATTAACAGTGAGATATTTTAAAAATTAAAGATTAAAGTGAAATTGAGTATAAAATTTAGAATATCATTCCTGGGATTAAGCCAAAGGAAAATTGAAAAAGTACGAACGACTGGACATCGGCAATAAAAAAGAAAAACGACAACTAAAAAAGAAAACACCTATCTTTTCACCGCGGGTTTCAAAATCGAAGGCACCGCAGATGCTTGACCGCTAGGTGATGAATTTTGATAGAAGCTTCATATTTCTACTTTCCTTCCCCTGCAACTGCAACCAAATTTTCCGAAAAAATCGAAAGGAAAGTCCAGGAATTTGAGTATCAGCCATGAAACCCTCCTCTGCTTCTCTCGTTTTCGTTTCGTTTCTTCTTTTGCTGAGCCTGTTACATCGGTCTAGAGCCGAGGTTATAACCCTAACCCCCGACACGTTCTCTGACAAGGTAACAATTTTCACAGATCCAATTCTTTTCAGATTGTTTGTTTAGATTCAGGATCGGGCATAGATCCGCCCTAGTGCGAAACTAACCCAGTGCTGTGAAATTTAATTATTGATTTATTGTGCTTGAGTTGTTTAATCTTTTGTTTTCTTAAACATATATTTAGTCGTTCCGTTCGAATATTTCGTTGTCCAGTTCCTGAAATTTGTTAATCAGATTTTGTTTATTTTAAGCTTTGAAGAAGATAATCGAGATTGTATTTGTGAATAACTATACTGGGTTATTGTTTATTTCTTGATTTGTTTTTATATTTTATTTTTGTCTTTTATGGTAAATTTGTTCCAAAATTTAGTACATTGAGACATTCCTCGTTTTGTTGTTTCCATTAGGTGAAGGAGAAAGATACTGCATGGTTTGTGAAATTTTGTGTTCCATGGTGTAAACATTGGTGAGTAGTTTTCCTTTCTAAGAGGTCTTTTGTTGTCACTTGAGAGTGTAAAACAGTTAGTTACTGATTCTTATTGGTTATGGAAACAATTGGTGTCAGTAAGAACTTGGGGTCTTTGTGGGAGGACCTCGGAAAGGTAATGGAAGGTGAAGATGAAATAGAGATTGGGGAAGTTGATTGTGGTACAAGTAAAGCAGTGTGTTCGAAGGCCGATATTCATTCGTATCCTACATTCAAGCTATTCTATGATGGAGAAGATGTCGCAAAATATAAAGGTAAGATTCAGTTTCTTGTTTCTGTTGTACATGTTTGAAGTATGCTTCCTTTGGAACAGTAACATGCTTAATGGTGAAACCTAGTTAGATCGTTTAAGGCATTGTAGTTACAATGAGAAGGTCGTACACAAATTTAATTAGGAGGTTTAAAGAGCAATTTGAGATTGAAATAAATTGACCAAGGACAAGTATCTCAACTCTAGCGTTTAATTATTTTACTTAGTTTGTTTCAAATTTACTCGGGAAGGTTTTGTATCGCGGCCCATCTTGGAGAATGACGTTATCAGCTACTTTGTCCTTAATTTAACCACTAGAAAGTCATAAGTAAGACATACATGAAAATCATATAGGGTGAATTGCAGAAATTGGCCTTGACCTTTGCATCTTGCATCACAAAAGAGGCATGCAGCATAACTGTAGAAATGTTAATGTTGTCATTTCTTTGTTATAGTAATGAAGCAAATGCTATTGCTAAAATACGTAGATGAATGCTCCATTTTAATATCCAAGAAAATGGAAATCATTAAAAGCAACTGCTTCATTGCAGCACTAGATTGAAGCTGAAGTCGACACTTTAGCTAGCTTGGCTGGCCATTTTGTGAACCATGACTTAAAAATACTTTTAACAGTGCGGTCATTCTTAAATCATAATACCATAGTATATTTTCTTTCTGCTTTTTCTGTCTACAATTGCTTCACTAACTCAATCTTAAAGCAGAATAGCATATATCTTCATGTAACTTGTAATGATCATCTCATTTTTTACTATGGACGTCATAAAAAAAAAGTATTTTATTGTTGCTGTAGTATGAAATTAGCAGTGATGGCAATACTGACATTAGTCTTTTCTGGACATTAATGGTGTGATGAAATAATAGTGTAAACCTATGATTGTGGCAGACGTTATGCTTTTGGGATAAGTTTTCCAGATTGAATGTCAATGTCCTTGTCTGTTCTCCTCTGTTGAGTGTGACCAAAAATATTTGCCTTGTTTATGTGATTTCCCCTTGGATCATCAACTATTAAGTGTTCCATATGCTATGTTGCTTCTGTTGGCTTTGACTCAAATAATTTAGCTCAATTATTCAATTAAAAATCATAAATATATCTTCTTCTTTTGGCCCAAAATGCATGTTCTCAGGCACAAGGGACGTTGAATCACTCAAAAATTTTGTCTTAGAAGAAGCCCAAAAAGCAGCTGCCAAGACGCACCATGAAAGTGATGAGTTGTGATAACTTGTTAGGCAGGTAACTTTTGTTTTTTATTTGAGGAATCTTTGGGAAATGAGATTTGGAGAAGATTAGTTCCCAAAACTGATTCAGAACTCCTTTATATGACGAAAATAATTTTACCGCTTGCAGTTCATCATAAAATGCTTTACGACAAACCGTTGTATGGTTTCATGAACTCTCTGACTGATTGATGATCGTTTCGTTGGATACCAACAGCAAAGTTCTTTTTTCTTATGATAACAGTTGAAAAACTCAGGTGGCCGGTCATTCCGTAGGCAGTTGCACTAATTGTGTTCAGACTTGCAGAAACTTGCTTTATCTTAGGAGTGAGAAGAGATTTTGCTTTCAGTGGTAAATCTTTTGGGAAGCATTCGTTTGGTTTAAGTTTTGAATACAAGTGCTAAACGCATTTACGTTGAATATGGGAATGTATTCATTGTGATTTTATTTCTCAATCCGTGATTATGATAGGTGTTTATCTATTATACAGCATATGAATATTCTCATGGCAATTGGCTATAAATTTCTTATCTATTAGGGGGAAAAAAAAAGAAGAAACATTAAACGTTGAAACTGAAGATTCCTGGCAACCATTAAAAAGGACATGAAGTCTTCCATCTCCAAAGTTTCAAACCGAACCAGACCAGACACTTCTCTTTCCAAAACATAAAGTAAAAGCCCTCCTCCCTCTGGCCCATACCTTTTTTTTTTTTTTTTTTTCAGTCAGTAAAGGATAGAGCATATGGTGGTGTGCGGTGTACTTTATTTGGATACCCTTCTTCTCTTTCTTTGCAACTATTGGTTTCCTTCCCATGTTCAATGGAATAAAAGAGTTGTGCATGAAACCTGCCAACCCGCTCAAACAGCTCACCCCACCCCTGTTCCGCCCATTAAAAATGCGATCAGTGGATCGCCCGTCTTTTTTTGGGCGGATTTGGCGGGCGGGTGCCGCTTTGCAAAATTATTCGGCAGGCTTAACCTGCATGCTCTTTTTTTTTCCTAATATTTTTCTTTTTTTTAAGTGGTTTTCTAACTTAAAACTCTCTCATTATGTTATCGTTATTGTTATTTAAAATTATAGACTTGAGTCGCAAAATTGAATCAAAACAGATGATAATTTGAAACCATCCTACAGAAAGGATTTCATCAAGTACACCAAGTTTAATTCGAACTTTTATTGCCATGTCCAATTGGTAAACAATGTGAAAACAACACTCCAACATTGCTTTTAAACTGAGGCCATGCCGAACAAATGCTTGAAAACCACGTTTTCTATAAAGACATTTTGTTGATATCTTTTATATGCGCATAAACTGCTGTCATTCTTCGTACCCCTCTTAAATGCCAACCTGCTCACCCAAGTAAACTGTTTATCTTTGTCCTGAGTCTAATATACTTTAGAGAGTCCAGATAGATTTAAGGTCTGTTTAGTTCTCTGATTTGAGTTAAAATGTGATTTTATGTGAGAGTTTTTTACTGTAGTAAAAAAGTTAAATGTGATTGTTTGTGAGAACTTTTTACTGTAGTAAAACTTAAATTCTAAACTCGAATCAACGAAATGAACGAGATCTTATTGTTTTGAAACCTGCGAATAGCCAAATTTGCTCTATTTCACTTTAAGAAACTAGAAGGAAAACAATCATGCAAATGATTTTTTTTTTTTTAATTTGAAGACTAGCTCTGATAATGGGGGTTAATGAAGCTACACCAACTAGGCAACTACATATCGGCAGAGGGGCAATTTGCGTCATAATCCCCGGGAAAAGACACACTTGTATAATCAAGAATTTATTTTTATTAAAAAAAAAAAGAAAAAGAAAAACTTGTCATTGGGCATTTAAGGATAAACACAAATTTCGGTCTCGTTTACTTTGCGGATTCAAGTTGAGATATGACATTTTTTGAGAATTTTTTACTGTAACAGAAAAAGTTAAATGTGACATTTTCTCATAATTTTTTACTTGTAAAAACTTAAAACTAAAAATCGGTGAAATGAACGGCTTTCATATTAAATAATGAGTCAGAGGATGACAAGGGAGGAAATAGAACACACATGTCTGGTATGTGAAGCCACAACATGAATTTGGTTGTACCAGATGCTAGATTTTGTAACGTCTTTACCTCCTAACGTCTTCTTCTTTTTCTTTTTGGTTTTTGTTTTTTTGTTTTTTTTTATAAATCTTCTTGGTTTCTTCTTTTTTGATATTTTACCTTGTGCTACACAAGAAATCCCAGAGACTTAAAGGAGAGAATATGAACCTAAAAAACATGAGAGCTGAAGTCATTTCATTGTTATTATTGTTGTTGTTGCTGCTGCAGAGAACGTGTCCAAAAGAAAACCAACAAAACAAGGAGGCAAGATCAAAGCAAGCTCTTGTATAAAACCAAATGAGATTAAAAGACAAAAGTCCAGGAGAGTAACTAAACCAGATTAAAAAGATAAACTTACTGATATACATGTAAATAAAATACTAAGAATCCGAAGAAAGCCTAACAAAAACACAAGTCCAAAAGAACATTTTAACTAGAAATAAGTTCTAAATGTTCTTACAAACTAGGCAGCTTTTGCTATACAAGCCAAACCACTGTGGGACAGATCACGGAGTAGTTCATCAGAATCAGCTTCTCTTTTGATCTGTCCCAGCAGTCTCTCACAAAGCCTTTGAAATCCCACTTCTTGATTTGCATGTACTCCTTCCCCGCCTCGTGATCTGTGCTTTTTCATGGCCTCCCTTCTGAGATCGTGATCTGCCATACTGAAAAATGGCACAGCCAAAAAATGAAAAAAAAAATGAAAACATTGCAAAAGGCTCAATCTTTTTGCAAACCATACCAAAGAGAGAAAGAGAGAGAGAGAGAAAGATTGGTTTTTTAGAGAGAGATTCATACTCCTTAGAGAAAGTGAGATGATGGGTGATTGTTGAAACGCAAAGAGGAAGTCCACAAGTGCTATGGAGGCTAAACATGGGCTGCATTTTTTTTTTTTTTTTTCACTTCTTTTCTCTCGTCTCTCTCTGTTTTCACTTCTTTCTGTTTTCTGGTATGGTTGTGACTAAAGATGAGAGAAAAAAATGGGTGAGGCTTCTAGTGAATAGGTAGTGAAATTTATGAAAAAGACGAGCGTTTTTTTTTTTTTTTCTTTTTTGGGTTTGTGGGTGATTTGAGCCCGCCCATTCGAGTTTTTAATTTTAGATTTTTACAGTAAAAAATTATCAAAAAATGTCATATCTAATTTTTTTTGTTACAGTGAAAAACTCTTAAAAAATGTGACATCTTAACTCAAATTAAAAACTTAAATCCGTAAAGTGAATGAGACCTTCATGTACTAGAAAATAGTTTCTCTCTCTAAGCAATTAATTTAAAAGGAGTACTAAGAAGCGGTCCCCTTCTTCTATTTTATGATATGTTTGGTAGGGGTGAAAAGAAAAGAAGACGAAAATGAGCAGTAAAATATCTAGATAAAGAGAGTAAAATAATAAAATAAGATTTTTTATTATATTGTTTGGTTGAAGATAAAAAAAAATTAAAAATATATAAAATTTAAGATATTTTATAATAATATCTCAATACAAATAAAAATATAATGAATAATAAATGTTAAAATTATTATTTTACACTTTATTTATTTGTTAAATTTTTTCTCTCATCTTTTCTTCCTAAAGTTTAGAGGCTTAAAAATTAGTGAGTCATATATTTTCATTTTCTTTCTTTTCTCTTTTTCTCTCTATTAAATAACTTAACATTCTATTTTTCTCTCAAAAAAATTCTCCTATTTTCTTCTCTCACTTTTCCACCCTACTAAACACACTGTTAATGTTTAGAAAAAAAAAGTTGACAAGCTTTTTGGGAAAACTGTGAAGCTGATCTACAACATGGTGAGTGAGTTCTGAAGGCTCCCCTTTCTCTGCTGGGCATTAGATTGGACATGGTAATGGCAAATGGATCCACAATAGATGGTTAAGCCCGATCCATAATGGGACCATGTTTGTCCAAACCGAGCATTAGGACATGGGAAGAAGAGATAAATATTCAGTCTTAAATTTTTATCCCTTCTACTTAATATATGCCTTATAGTTGAAAAATTATATTAACCAAGGAGAAAAGGTAAAATTCTTCGAACAATACATTTAAAGAGTAAGTTCATCAATTTTGATCAGGATATCCATTGTCTATGGGGAACTTGGGATTGTAAACACAAACTAATAGAAAAGTTGATTCATTTTTATATTTTAGCATCTTGAACGTAAACACTAATGTCAATATGATATTTTGTGTAAAAATTTGGTATCAAGTATAGAAAATATCAAAATTTGACATACACACATTAATTTGATATTTCATTGGAGATGTCCAAAATTTAAGAAGGATTTGAGTCTATATGGTGCTAAAAACTTGTGTGCTTAAATGGTGCTCAAAATTTTTGTTTCACTATTTCCTCTGTGACCATAATTTAGATTTACTTTCAATTCTATCAGCTGATTTTTTAGTTAAGGAAGAAATTACATTCCTACTTGAATAGGATATTCACACAAAATTAAATATTTGCGAGTTGGTTCATGAGATTCAAGCCAGTTTTTTAAGCCTAAAAGTAAAAACTTGACTCGTTTTCATATACTTTTAAAATTAGTTGAAGGAATCTCTCTAAAAAAAAAAAACAAAAAAGTTAGTAGTTAAAGAAAATAGTGAGTAACTAGCAAGCAAAAGCAGATGTCAATTTCATGTTAGTCACCATGTGATCCATACATAGTTCACTCTATTAGCTGATGATGCTTCAATAATTGGTAGTCCCTCTTTTGTCCACCATAGTTCTCAGATACGGACACGAGTCTGTATAGTTACTAAGGGTAACTTGGTCATTCCATTCCTCTACCTGATCTTTGCCTTTTATTTCCATCACAGTTGCTGTTCAATACACAAATGTTTCCACCATGTTTTAATTCCTGATTTGATTTGTCTTTTTGCAAATTGATTGATGATAAAAGAAGAAGAAGACTCGTATTTCTATATCTTTTTCCCTTGGCTTAAATTCTACCAGGCTTAACGGCTCAAAAAGAAATCTAAGTGGCATCGTTCATTTTACCGATTTGAATTTTCAGTTTTAAATTTTTATAGTGAAAAGTTCTCAAAAAATATCACATTTAATTTTTTTTTTACTACAGTTAAAATTTTTTAAAAAATATTACATCTGAACTCGAATTGAAACGAACGGGACCTAATTTTAACATTATTCTTGCATACTATTCACTATTCACAAAAGTGGCGCTTTTTGCTACCTTTGTCTTTTTCTTTTTTCTTGACTTATTTCGTAGCGTTTGTATTTTATATATCTTATTTAGAGGAGATTTTTTGATATGTTTAATGTATCAGTATATTAAATTTTTTTAACTGTTAAATTTATATATTTTTAATTTTTATATAATTTTATATAATTTTAATATATAAAAAATTTAATCTATTAATATATTAACGTACAAGAAAACATTCTTTTACTTAAAATTAATTATCTAGTACAAAACCAATAATACGGAGACTATTATATATCTCAGTAATTAAGTGGGTCCCGAGTTTCCCTCTTTTGCCTATATCACGTGTTTTTTTTATAGAAGCTATAGTACATGAATGGTATCAGCTAAATACGAAGTAATGAGAAAGTAAGCTAAATGTGTACGTATTTTAAGGTTAGAATTTCTATTTTCATGAGTCATGCCAACATATACATAAATGTAAAGTTCCAAAGAAGAAGCAAACTCTTTCAAGAGACTTAAGGTTCGTTTAGTTCGTTGATTCGAGTTTTTAATTCGAGTTGAGATGTAATTTTATATGAGAATTTTTTACTGTAGTAAAAAAGTTAGATGTGATTGTTTCTGAGAGTTTTTTATTGTAGTAAAACTCGAATTCTAAACTCAAATCGGTGAAATAAACGATGTCTGTTTAAACTACTCATTGGAAGTTTAACTTATATGTTACTAAACAGCGCAATCTATTTATCGTTATACCATTCCTTTTCGTTTAGAAAGAAAAGAAATGAAATTCTGTCCAAATAAGGAAATATTGTTTAGTTTAAAGCCACGGAGTCAAGCCATCCATATAAATATGTTGCCAACAATCTGCAGTGTTTAATCTGCAACAGTTTTATGCGGTAAGATATCTCTGTCGGTAATTCATGTTTCTAAGTATTAATTTTGATTAAAATCAAATTAAAATAAAAAAATTTACAGAATCGACAGATTATGATATAGAAATAATACAAGAGTTAAACCCGATTTTAAAATTTTGGTAATTAGTATTCTTGTTTTGGATACTTTTTTAAGTATGAACCATGTAAAGACATTTGGTTCCGTGTGATAAAATTATTGAAGTGATGGTACACATGTATTTGACGTAAATTATTGTGAAATGTCCCACATTGATTAATCAACTACGCAACTAGGACGCCACATGGTGGGCAAAGAGTTATTACAGAATAGTGACCAATGCAAGTAACATGGAGACCTTGAAAAGTTGTGAGCTCCAAAATTTGTGATGAGTCCTCTTCAAGTACTAAATGAACGATTGCTCATTCCACCTTGAGTGACCATTTGACAGCCATCCAGTGTTTTATAAGAGAATCCATATCCGACAAAAAACAATAAAGCCAAAAAAAAACAAAAAAAAAAAGTAAAGCAGACTTTTCAACTATTTAATACCATGTCAGTTTCATTCTCAATCCTCAATAGTAAAGAAACAAATAATTGAATGATCAATCCAGCAATGTCTGCATTATACAAAGACATGTGAATAATTATCAAAAAAAAAAAAAAAAAAATGGCATGTGAATGTGCAGGATTTGAATTGAATATATGTTACATAATGTAATACACTTAGCTCAATGAGACAATTTTCCTGTAGCAGAGAATCTCTGCCCAATTGAGAAAGAAAGAATGGGTATTGGCAAGGTGCTCTACTTTTTAAGGTTTTTTTTCTCATTGAGGGAAGGTAAAGTCAAAAGTTCGAGCCCACATTTCGTTCTTGAGTATCTAACTGAATGGGGTAGCTGAGAAGTGACTCATCATTGTAATCTCATCTAAAAATAATGAGTATTGGCAAGGCATTATCTTAGATTCTTACATGTTTATTAAGTTTATATTCTTTTATTTTATTTTTGAGAGTCTTTACGGTAAAATAAGTTATTTTATTCTTCTGATAGGAATAATTATTTAACCGTTGAATTAGTTTTGTAATGGTCAGAGCCGTTCCGTATTAAAAATGCGCGACATAAAACTATTCGTACTATAAATCCAACCTCTAACGGTAAAAATACGGTACCTATAAGGGGACTTCACCGTAAACACTCCCTTTATTTTTTAACGGAAACAAGGACTAGTGGAAAATCCGGTGATTACTTCCCGCCTCAATCATGCAATCATCAAAATAACTATTTGGGCTGCTGAGACTCACATATATTCGATGCAGAACTTCTGCAAATTTAGTCACGCCGTGGGACACCACGACCTACTTTTTCCTTATGGCAATCATGGAGCCATAGATACGTCTTCATAAGCCGATAAATGAAATAATAAACTACAAGATATATATTTATGTACATATATTTACTAATGACTTATGTATAGCAGACTCATAGAATTTCGTAATATGCATGCTTAGCGCATAACCATGAGAAACACTACTAAACAATGGGCAAACTAGCATTTTCACTTTTCAGGTCCTGTTGTTTTCCTTCCTTTTTGCTTCTTTTTGTCACTAAAGTTTGCTGCTATTGCAATATGCATATGTCATAACAACTGACACAAGGATTGGCTTTTGTTCAGAGTGTTGTATTTATATTAGTAGTTTAAAACTCTAACCACTTATATTAAAGAGCCAAAAGGGCACATATATATGCATGCAACAACAATATCCGATGTGACTGGTTGAAATGATTCCGAGATGAAGCATAATATCGAAAAAGTGACATGAAAATATTTAAGAGCTAGGTAGCAGAGAAGTACAGAGAAAACATCAGAAGTTAAGCATACCCAACAAAAACAAAAACAAAAAAACAAAAAACAAAAAAAAAAAAAATTCCTCATATTCATTGAAAAGAAAGCATCGAAAGGTTCGCTACGCAGGAGAGATGACGCTGTCGCCGGAGTACAAGCTGAAGCAAGGCAAGTACTTGCTGCGAAGCCGACGACAGCATCATTTTCCTGCATAGGAAACCTTGCTTTGTGCATTACAACTTATACACAACTACTCATACTGCAAATGAAATGTTGGTCTGAGTAGGGCTTTTCTCTTTAAGGTAACTAGGTAAGTCTTCTTTATTATATAATATCTTTCAATTATATATATATATATATATATCACTTTGCAAAGAAGCCTCTTAAGTTCTATGCTTTATTGCTTATAATTGCCTAATAGTCTTCCTCTAGGCATGTGATTTATGGAAGTCAGTTCTGTGATATTTGTTGTTGGGCATCCATTAGATTCTTTTTTGTTGTTTTTTTGTTTTTGTCAAAGATGTTTTCAAGAAGAGTAATCATTGAGACATTCCCTTATTTATCAGTTTCGTTTGTTGATTACTGTAAAAATTTTCTTATTATATAAAAAAAAAAGGTAAACAACTTATATATATCTCCCCCATTGAAAAATTAAGTGGTCACGTAGTTATCACGCGGCTCTGCATTAACTTTCATAATTCACCAGCACATCACTCATTGAATCATTTAACTTCTTAGAGCTTAGATTTCAGAGATAATTATCGTCATGCGTCTTTAACTATAACTAATAGTAATAAAATCTTTTACATATTATGTTACTGCTCTGTGCAAACTGAAACTTACAAGTGTTTTTAGCCAAAACATGGAGATCACTGATCTGGACAAGTACACTACACAAAGTGGCTATTGAAGATGTCGCTTTTTGAAGTTTTTCCCATGTCAAACTGTAACGCTTTCCAAGTTTCCAGAAAGCTGGAGCCTGGAAACCCAGCTTTGGAACAGAAATATCATGATAAACCCACTACATATTTCCTCAGCAGGCGCTTGCCTCGTGATCTCGTTTTGCAGAAGAACCAGCATTTCGTTTCATGTGTTTCTTTTTCTTTTTTTTCTTTTTTTTCCTTTTTTTTTTTTTTGAATTTTTAAATGAGTTTTATGTCTTCTAAAATTGTTCGTTTTGGAATTGTAATATTGAAATCACATAAAACGAAATCAATGAAACTATTACGTCCCTAAATATATGAATGTATATTGTATTGAAATCAATGATTGAAAATTGTTAATTGAGAATTTGTTTGATACAATATCTGAGTGATATTCTGAAAATTGAAAAAAAAAAAAAAAAAAAAGAGTAATTGCTATCTAAAGGAGTTTGCGCCACCTGTGGGCTGTTTAAAACTTAATACAGATGCCTCGGTACGGGAAGGTCTTGGTTTTATTGGTGTTGGTGCGGTGGTTCAGGACTCTATGGGGGCGGTGCTCGCATGTCTTGCCAAGAGGATCGTGGGATCTTTCTCTCCTTTCATTGCGAAGTGTGTTGCATTGAGAGAAGGTTTGTTTTTAGTACGTCTTTGTGGCTTTCCAATTCCTGTAATGGAGACAGACGCTCAACGGGTTGTTCAGGCAGTTAACAACGGTGTTTTTTTAGGGTCTTGTTCATTTCATCTATTCGAGTTTTTAGTTCTAAATTTTTACAGTTAAAATTTTTTAAAAAATATCACATTTAATTTTTTCTATTACAGTTAAAAACTCTTAAAAAATATTACATCTCAACTTAAATTGAAAACTCAAATCCGCAAAGCGAACGAAATCATGGGTGTGACATTATTAGTTTTACGTCCCTTGCTCCTGGTTGGAAATGCTGCTTTGTGAGAAGTACCTGAGGATGTTTTGTTGGAATTTGATTATGTCCCAAGCTTTGTTGCTCCGTTTGTAACAGCCGATTTGGCTTCTTAATAAAAATACACGACTTGCTTTCGAAAGAAAAAAAGAAATAAAACTACGTATATTTGCTTAAATGTTTATTAAAAAACTCAATAGGACGGAGAGCGAACAATAAACAATGGTTGGCGTCTCCAAAGCCATATTATAGAAAACTGGCTTGTCAACCAAGAGAGTTTTTCTTTTTATTTTTTCTTTCATCTATGTTTGGTAGGAAGGAAAGAAAATAAGATAGAAAAAAAATATGAAAGTGATAAAAAATAACAATGATGAAAAGAAAATTGATTTTCTTTTATGTTGTTTGATATGAGAAGATAAAAAGAAAATGAGCTTAACTTTGCCCACTTTAATGAGTTGTCCCCACTTTCTATCTCATTTTCTACTAACTTGTGGAAAGAAAAAAAATAATAAGACCCACATGTATTATTTTCTACTTCATTTTCTCTTCCTTTCTCTTTTCTCTCCTACCAAACAACCTACATTTTTATTTTCTCTCCTAAAATCCCTTCACCTTCTTTCTTCCGTCTACTTTTCTTTCCTACCAAACATACTCTTTATGTTTTCTCAAGCATGTTTCCAGTTAACGAGTAGGCTTCCCCTATTGGCTGATAGCTTGATAGTCCGCTTGGTTCGCAGGCTTAAATAGAAATTTAAATTTTTATTAGACAAAACACTATAACAAAAAAATTTAATCATGCTTCAAACTTACAAAACAAACAACACCCAAGACTTACCACTAAACTTCTAAAGTCTGTTATATTTTTGCCAAGCCACCTCAACTGATAAACCATTCTAACGAAATAGAGACACTGTTCATTTTTTATTTTCTATTTTTTCCTTCTTTGGCTTGAAAAATGAAAACATCTGATTGATACCACAACATAGAGAAAAAGGGAAGCAAGTGATTATCTATAAAAGTCGTTGAGCGGATTTAGATGGATGTCTTTCTCGAAAGCCAACCAGGAATAAACAGATAGCGCCGAGTCTAACATATATTTCAATACAATAACCCCACAAATTCATGGTTCCAGTGAACAGAAAAAACACATCGAACTTAAACTTATATCCTGGTTGACCAATTTAAGTCTGGAACCCATCTACACTCATGAAATGGGACTACGGAAATCGGAAAGATAAGCAGTCACCCAGCTACCATGATCCTTCGGCACCCACTGTCGGGTTCTGGAAAGCAGAGAATCCCCAGAAAGTCTTCAATGAGTAGGGCTGGGAGATTGTCACACCTTCTTCAGTAATTTTAGCTATCTGCAATTGCAAAATGTAGAATGTGTCAACTCACAAAAGGCTGGAAACCAAACTAAAGGAAAAGAACAGTATTTTTGGTCAACCCATAGGACGTTGGATACAGGTGTTATTATTGCTGAAATTGATTGCATTGTTTAATTTGAAAGGTCTAACATGTTTAATCATGCTAAACAATATTAACGTCTACTTTCATTAACAACGCTTATAAGACGAGGCATAAAACAAGAGTGATTTATTAATCCTGGGTACCGAAAATCCCTCTCCTCACAAGCACATAAGTTTCTGTATATGTGTTTTTTTTTTTTTAACAGAGATGGGGAGAACAATGGGACCCACTAAATAAATTCCACCTGACGAAGAGGGTCAAGAGGGGGAGCAGAGCGATGAATATATTGTCGGTACTCGGTAATGTTCATCTTACAATCATACAACCTATTACCCCTTACATTATCAATGACCTGGAAAATGTTGATGGAAACAAAATGCAAAGTATTGTAAAAAGCCAAACCTGAAGCTTGTTGACAGCAGACCTATCACGGTAAAGGAGTACGCGCATGCATTTCTCCAATATCTTCACACCATCTTCAAAACTCAAGTTCTCATGCCACTCATCACGAAGAATTGGTCGTGCAAGGTGATTTCCAAATCCAGTTGCCACATGATTGTCCTCGAAATGTACACCTATCATGGTTACCTAGTTAAGAGGAAAAAAACCTGAGTCAGTATGTGCTCCTATTTGGTTGTTGGGAGTAAGAGGAGGAGGAGAGCGTGGGGGTAGGAGCAGGTGGCAGGGCGCAGCGTTGTTGGGGAGGTTGTTAAATGTACTAAACTTGGTGCTGCACATCAAAGGGAAATGATCAATCGAGACTTACTGTGCCAAGGTACTTCTGTCCATTTTTCACTCCACCGAGGACAAGCGTATTCCACAGAGGATTAAACTTATTGCGTCGGTTGTACATAACTCTGGTCAAATAGTTGTGAACCTCTTTAGGTCCCAACGAGTTTCCATCATCCCACATGTTGTCATAGAGGCTACAAGCATCGAAACCAAAAATGAAAAATGGCTAACTCAAAACGTAACAAGAAGAATAGAACCCCTAAGAAATAAAGAAAAAGGCACCCTCAAGTAGAAATGCACAAGTTGTTAGCTTGTAGCTAATAGCTATAATTTAAAGCGCGATAACTTCAAAAAACAACAAATGCTTACATGAGCTCGTCAAGATAGCGCAATAGCTCCTGAAAATCACTTAATTCTCCACTTGCACCAAGAAGAGAGTGTTTCCCGACAGGCTTCATTCTCTCCACACTTTTGTATCGCAAAGTTGATCCATAAGAACCTGTCTCCATCATTTACATGACATGAACATGAAGTGAGTTTTGCTAAAGGCAGATCAGGAAAAAAGAGGGTAGCTTCCAAAAAACTTGAGTACAACAAATTGATAAAGCGTGCACAAAAACCCCATGAAACATAACTTGTGCTCAGTAGAGTCTTTAAATGAAGAACGTAGAACAATTTCCCAAAAGAGAAAGTAGTAAAAAGTGCATAATTTGTTTAACTAATCAAGCAAATTGTGAAAGGAAAAGATTTTTGGCAGAATGCATTTGGGAAAAATCATCCAACTGCAGAGAAAATATTTTTGAGAGATGAGATAGAGATACAATTGACAGTAGAAAAATTTATGTCACGAAAGCGATCAGGAATTATACCAAAAACATAGGGCCCGTTCTTGTCATAGATTTGAACTGAAATTCAAATTTTTGTAAGAGAAAACACCGTAGCAAAGAGGTTTGAATTGTGGTTCAAACCTATGAATATTATACAGTACATCAAAATTTTCTCTAACCAGTTACTTTGCTTTGGTTATTCTTTTTCTCTGCACTTGTACTTTGACAACGAAACATAAAACAAAAATTATCATAGGTATTCGGTTTACCCTTCTAGAAAAGCCTGCAACTCGATTTTGCTAGCAAATTGAAAAGGGTCTATAATAATCAGAAGAAAATCCAATCGGCTTCTCATCCATGTAAACGTAAATATTGAAGTACATGCCTATTTCCATAACTTACTTAGCACACTAAATTGCAGAGCACTCAGAATTCACTTTCCTGACACACAAGTAAAGCTACCTAAAGTAAATCATATTCCGAGGCCCTAGGCCCCTAGCAAGGAAAATAAAAACAAAATACCAAAATCATGTTCAGAATTATGTTCATAATTTTCTCTATTAACACGGGGAAACAGTCAAACCCATCTAAAGATAATCAATGTTGACTAAGCTAGTTATAGTGAAAGAGCATGAACATAAACATAACAAGAAAATGGAAGGGACCAGCAGCTGACCTCCCATATCAGCAGCCATCAAAATACCATCTTTGTACTTGAGGGCGACCACAGATGTCCCCGTGACATATGGGTACCTAAACTCGTACCAATAATAATTATTCACAAAAATATAATCATAAATCATAATCACACAAATCGCCAAGAGACATGCGTAAACACTCTCGCCTATAAATGTATATACCCATAGAAAGAGATGGGATAAAAATCATTACAGGGTTCTTTGTGAATCAGAGCTCAAAAGGCTGTTGTGTTGGGCTTGGTTCGATTCCGACAACTGCGCATATAACACAGGAGAACGATATCAAATAAGGATCAAAATGCGAAAAGTAGAAATGCAATTTATAATCCAAAAAACAAACTTACACTCATTTTTCTTCTTTTTTTGTGGATTGCGAATCTGGTCCGAAAGATGCTTCTATCACTATCAATGACAAATTCATATCGGTTAAAAGTAAAGAAATTAAGAAATCGCGAAATCTGCAAACCCTCAATCACCTATAATCAAGCTTTATACTCGCAAATAATCCATAAATTTGCTCGCAATTGATAGGGGAAAAAATGAATTGGAGAGAGAGAGAGATAGAATCAGAGCAGAGAAATGGAGAATACCGTAAGAAATTTGATTCGGCGAAGCAATGGCGTCGTGGATCAGAGGAGAGGGGGGTTTAGGGCGGAAAAAGGGCTAGAAGCCTTCCTTTTTCTATACTCGTTCTGTGTCTAATGCTCTGTCCCTTTGCTCAAGAAAACCCAGCACTGCCAAAGTGCGTGGTGATTGACGAAACGACCCTTTGTAGTTTTTTTTCCTTTTTTTTTTTCAGAATTTTTCTAAGTCGGCGTAAAATAACTATATGATAAAAAATAACTATATGATCAAATCACATGCGCATTTTTCCATTAAATAAATAAAACATGCTAACGAAATTTTATAAAAAACCAAATAATTAAAATTATGTGTAGATTTTTTTTTTTTGCTTTTTTAGGCAAAAAATACTTTTTCCTACCTTGCTGGAAAATTTCTATTTTTTAAGTAAAAACCTCTAGTTTTAATCTTTTATTGTAATGCATTAAAAAAACACCACATGAAAAAAGACAAACGACCAAAAACACACCTAAACGACATAAAGATAGAAAACGACAATGTTAAAAAAGCGACAACCACGTGAAAACAACACTTATAACGACAGCCACATGTAAGAAGAGAATAGTTCCAAAACGACATAAAACGGTTAAACGACGGATGATCTAATGACGACAATAACTACAGAACAACATATGACCCACTAGGACCGTTTTTTCCCCCAAATGTACGACGACAATCAAATTAAAATGACATTTAATTTAAAATAACGACAATCTTAAAAGACAACCGCATGAAAACAACAAAAGATTAAAAAACACAAGAAACTTATAAGCAAAATAAAATTTTATTTTTTTTCAAGCAAAAAAATAAAACTTAATTTTAAAAATAAAATAAATTAGAACTTAAAAACGACAACGCCCTAAAACAACAACCACATGAAGGCTACAAGCACATGAGATACGACAACAAAAACCACAAAACTTATAAACAATCATGCCAGTAAAAGCAGTTAAGAACATACCCTCTCTGATACTTTATTTTTAACCTTTTAACTTTTCTATTTAAATTTTATAATTTTCTCAAATGAATTCTCATTTTTACCTCCATAAAATTTAAATTTAAATAAAATTCTCATTTTGCATGTAAATTTTACAAAATTTCAAGTGAACTCTCATTTTGCCTCACCAAAATTTTATAGTTTAAAATTTCATGAATAATTGTTTCAAAAAATTTCAGCAATGCCCGAATGGTAATATAAAATTTAAAGAAAATTACAGATTCTACATTCTTAAATACCCAACTTACTAAAAGTATTTTTTTTAAAAAATTCTACCCTTTTACTAGTTTTAATTTAAAATGTATAAATATATGGACTAATGTTAAGAGATAAAAATAAAAGAGGATTCATTTCAAGATCTGTTTTTAAAAGTTGCCCTAAAATTTAAGTATCCACTTAATGCTCCAATTAAAAACTGCTAGGGGAAAAGTGATCCCATGAACTCAATTTACCACAAAAAAGAAAAACCTAATACTTGCATCAAATGTAAGAGTTATATTATAATTACCTAAATCTTCCATACCGAAATGTCATGTTTTATTTTGTAGGTTTGGTAACCTACAATCATCCACTGTTTGTGTGTTCTTTTTCTCCTTTAACATTAAAAACTCCATTTTGACAAAACTTATCAAACTTAATTCGGAAATACTGTTTAACAATACTCATAACACTCAATTTGACTAATTTTGTTAATTTCAAAGTTAAAATTGGTATTTATGCGTCTTAAGTTTGACGAATTTTGCTTGCTTTATTAAAAATAAGGTTTTTAAAAACAAAAACACAAGACATGACGATGCTGTTTCTCAAAACACGAGATAAAAACGTGATTTTTCAATAAAAACTACCAAAAAAAAGTATGTACTCTTCACGATATAAAAGAGATTCACATTCCTATCTCCATAATATCAAATCAACATGAAGATGATTGTTTTTCTAAATTCGTAGTTGTTCATATTTAGAGAGAAAAAAAAAAAGAATCGTAGCCAATCGACCACTTTGTCACAAAATTCAATGGAATATACCGAGAGAGAGGAAGAGAAAAAAATGCAATTAGATGTACACAAACAAAATACACGTGTATACTAGATTGTTAGGTAGAAGTTGCAACTTGCAACTCAAATGTTGTTTTTCTTACCTAATTATATTGTTTTGATAGCTCGTCCAAGTCAATCAAATTTGCATGCAAGCCAAAAGGCGTCAATGGCGCATAACACACGGCAATTTACATCTCATGTGAATCAAATTAAAAACAATGCAACTAAAATGAAAAGATTAAATTAAACTTGCAAAAACAGTAAAAGGGAATACGACGGTCGCATTAGCGGTGTGATTTTTTTTATTTTTTATTTTTTAAATAGCCTTTTCCACTTAGGTTATTTGCCGAGTAAGACTAGATTAATAGATAATTGTTGAACGAATTATAATACAATAAAAAGTCGTTTTTTGGAGTTTGATGCATTTTTGCAACTAAAATAGATCAATTTCATTCGTTTTTATTTTTTATTTTTTATATAATTGATCAATTTCATTCGTTAGTAGCTGAAGATTCTATCCATGCCGATGGACTTTTAATACGAGCGAGTTTATCTTCCTATTAACTAGGGGAGAATCAGTTTTTTAAGGCGCAGTTTTTTTTTGTTTTTCTAGTAAGAAATAATCTGGTGTGACGCGCTTCACTGAGCACGTCATATGTCGCATCAATCATTTGAAGTACAAGATAAAAAAAAAATTGTATAATCTCATATCGCATGATAATAAAGAAAAGTTTTGATTTATAAAAAAAAGACACTTCCTCTTAATAATACGAGGCCTTTTAAGGTGAAGTCTAAAAATAAAAGTGTGCGGATTTAGGTTCAAAGCATAAAATATTATACCAATTGTAAGTGAAGGTCGTTACAAGGCATGTTTGCCACACGGATCGTCCTCACTACAATGCAGGGACTTCCATCCTTAGGTCTGAGAGTCTGAAGAGCAACCAATGGTCACCACCAACCTCCAACCCAAGAGAAAGAAACGTCCACTCAAACGAAATAGAGATAAAGGGAGAGAACAGTTTTCGCATTTTGACAATCTGTTATATTTTAACAATGGCTAAAAAAAAATACTTTATCAATACGTTAAAGCAAAAAAATAACTCCCATCAGTTTTGTGTTTTACCTTTTTTTATTCATTTTTTAAACTCTATTTGTTTACCATTGTATATAAATTATTTTTTATTTTTACTTTTGTTTTTGTTTTCGGTGATATATTTGTTCGTTTATTTTTTTTTTTAACTTCATTATCTATTTTACTATAATATCTTATCTAATACTCTCGTATTCTTTTTTTTTGTTTCAATTTTCTCTACATTTAAAATATAACTGACAATTCGTGTAGCACACGATTCAAAACCCGTATGAAGTTAGCATGTTTAGATTTACTATAAATGAGTTTGAGTCATAATCGGGTTGATACGATTAACACGATTAATAAATGTGTTGGATTATGGTTGACCTCCTAACACGAAGTGACATGATTAACTATATGTGTCATCTGTAATATAATGATATGTGATATAACATAAAAGTTTATATGACACATTAAATATAAATAATGTGAATTTTAATATTTGTAGGTAAAATTCATTTATTTTTCTTAAAGGAAAAGATAAATTGATCAATAAACACATTAAACCTATTTTAATCGTGTTAAATATGTTATTATTATATTAGTTATTTATTTAATATATTAATTTAAACGGGTTATACTGGTTGACACGATTAACACGATAAATAAATGAGTTTGGGTTGATATTATTGACACATTTAATAAACAAGTCGTATTTGAGTTGATATTTTCTGACACGATTAATAAACGGATTGACACGAATACGACACACTAACACGAATTGCCACCCTTAATTTAAAATTTAATTAATCATATAAGTTTTTTACTTAAATTGCTATTTATATACTATTTTTAAATTTATAGTAAACTTTTGTTTTACATTTTATTTTTTTGTATTTTATACTATTAAAATTTTAATCACAGCTCAATATGTGTATCTCAAATTGTTAAATTAGCAATTAAAAGATAATTTATAAAACTCAATACTTTTTTTTATTAAGAAAAAAATAAACACCATTTTATTTAATATACTCAAATTCAAATTATTAATTTTGTTTAAATATTTTAACTTTTTTAGACGTAGTCATGTCGGTACAGTGTTCTTACACGTCCCACCAAAGAATTTCCATTTCTTTTTGGCAAAACAAAACAAATTGAGGTTGGTGTGGTAGAAAAAAGTCCATCTTTTATTTTATTTTATTTTTTAATTTAATAATTTTTTGAAAAGAAAAAGATGTAGTAGGAAAAAGCTAGTGTGTATGCTATTTTTTTATGTTTCTACATAGTGGGACGCAGCAAGGCTAGTGCCTATTTTGCCACGTTCCTTCCCTCTCTATTCTTCGTTCCCTCGTGCAATATTTCTTGCGGCTGGCAGCCCCACCATGATTCTGCCACGTGGCACAATTTTGGACGCAAGGTATCACCTTTGCAAGTTGAACGGTTGATTTTAACGCACAAATTTCACAGCCACCACGCTTCCCTTCCCCCAACTTTCTTTTGATGACGTGGAGCGATTTGTGTGGCCCAAAATGTCTTTGAGGAGAATAGAAAGTTGGGGACACTCGGCATGCACTTTGCACGTGAGCGCACCGGAACCCAGCCCGGACGTGTCTCCGTCGAATAATCCGGATTGAATAATCGGCGATAGGTCCGAACATTGTAATTGGGGGATTTTGGTTCTGGTTGGGTCTCGGTCAAAAAAGAAGAAATCGCAAAGGCGTGAGAACAGGGACGAGCTTGGGAATTGGGGAAGTCGGCGTTAGAGAGAGAACCGAAAGTCGAAACCCTAATCCTCATCGCCTATCCAATTCCTTTCACGCATGTGAGCTCTTAAATTCGATTCCCATGGATTCTCTCTTTCGACGATTACTATTTTCTTTTTCGGCGCTCTGAATTAGGGTTTTCGTTTTGGGTAAGCTTTCATTTCCGATGAGCAATCGGTTTGATGACGTTTCGTGTTTACATTTTTCGTTTTGTGTTTCTGTCTCTTGTTTTTGTTTAGATCGGTCCCGGTTCGGAGAGGCTTTATGCGCTGGTTTCGTCGGTTTGGTGTTTGATTAATTGGTGCTTCTTTCAGTTCGGAAGATTCTATGCTATTTGGGCATTAATTTTGGGGGTCATATAATGGATTTGATAGCCAGTTGCAAGGTATTTAGTTGCCTTTTGTGTTATGATCATACTTTTTTTTTTTGGGTTTATTTTTGTTGCTGATTAGTTGTAGTTGCAGGAATTACTTTGATTGTGTTGATATGTACTGTTTTGCCGTTTGCCAATGTGCTTGTTTAGTTGCTGCGTGTTAGAACCTTAGCTTATGTAGTCCGCTATTTAAAATATACTCAGCTATTGTCATGTTTCACTTGTCAATTTAGTTAATTTGGGCATCTGGGCATAGGCTTGTTTTATCAACTATTAGAAATGAATATAAGCAAGCAGCTTTTTAGTTCTGACACTACTACATTAGTAAGTTTTCTTATGATGTTATTACTCAAATAGGGGGTCAAGATCACTGCAGTCAAAAATCTTGGTTTCATACTTTTGTTTCTCATTATTAATACAATTTAACCATTCACAGCTACACTTTATAAAGTGTGTTGTTGATGGGAGAAACTCTTTGCACTCATTTTGTTTGCGTTTATGCTGCCAAGATTTCACCAACAACCTTATTATCAAATGAATATGAAGCAAATAGTGTAATACTTTAATTTGAATTCATTTTACTGTTATTGGTATTGGTTTCCACTAAACACAGCTTAATTGCATGCTTGTAGTTCGTCTTCTAAATTATATGCATTTAGCTTTTATGGTTGTTTCAAATGAAGCAAGTTTTGGCAATTGAATTTCAGATGAAATAGTGGAAGGTATAGACTAGTCGGTTACTTCCTTTTAGTAAATGAGTTACTTTGAACACTAAAGGGGTTCACCTTTCTGCTCTCTTTCTGCTAATAACATGGCATTTTTACTCTTAAGTTTGGATTTAAGAGGCACTTTTCACTCTAAAGTTTTAAAGGGAATGCGTACTTTTGTATTTACAACTGCATATTTTTGATGTGTAAAGGAAGAAAGAGATCAATAATGTGATATGGTAAATTTCTTCGATTTATTAAATAACCATATTTAGCCCCAAGATTGGCTAGGTAAAAGAGATATATGCTTTGGTTTGATTCCTCTTGTTGTGTAAAAACTTTTGTCCTTGTCCATTGTGATGGAATATTTAAAGACTATTGGTGTGTTGACTTACAATGCATACATGACCTTTTGTGTTTTTATTGCAGGACAAATTGGCATATTTTCGAATAAAAGAGCTCAAGGATGTTCTCACTCATTTAGGTCTTTCAAAGCAGGGAAAGAAACAGGTAAAGATTAAGAGATGATTTTTGTGCTGAATTGTGTGTATTTGGATTTGGGATTTCATCACACTTTGACTTCAGAAAATGTTGAAATGCTGCTTTTCTTTGTTCTTTAGGGTTGCGCTCCCTCTTTTGGGTTTGGTTAATAATCATTTTGTTTTCTTTGTTTTGTTTTGTTTTTTTTAATATGTTTGCTAAAGTTTCACTAATAATTTCTTGGCTATTTGGTTATCATATTATCCGGGCTTTTGAATAAAAATGCTGCTCCTTGTTAGAAATATTCTTCTCTATAAATGCCAAAAGGCTCACAATGCTATTATAACATGGGCTTCTTTACCGGAGTCATTTGTCTGAGAATGATTGTCTGTTGAACGCCAGCAAAATTCAAAGCAAGTCTAGCCCATTTTTTATTTTTATTTTTTTTCTAAACTAGAAGTTCCTTTTATTTTTTGTTTTTTATAAAATGATTTCATTCATCAGCATCTTGTTTATGTTTTTAAATTGTTGTCTCTGCGTTTTATTTACTAATCTATTTTGCAGGACCTGGTTGACCGAATATTAACCATTCTTTCTGATGATCAAGGTAGGTCGTTTTACTGTTCTTTCCTGAAGTGAATATTGAATTTTCTTCTCATTCACATTCGTTGGTGATGTATGTTTTTTTGGCCCCACCATCTTTTTCTCTTTTTCGCCTTGAACGACATGTACTGGATGCTATGCTTTGCTTTTCTTCCCTCCATTACTCGTCTTTGGTGATATTCTATACTTCAATTAGGCGTCTATGTTTCTAGAGCTTTAGACACTGAAACATCATGTCAGTTTTTCCTAGTTGGTGAATTCAATGCTGCTATATTTTTTTTGTTGTGCTCATTTCTTGCTTCAGTTTTGCTGCTCATTTTGCTCTTTTAGTCATGTTTTTTTTTTTTACTAAGATAAGAGGAGAGGAGTTGGGCAAAGCTATAAGTGAAATTCTAAGCTCACCTTAAAAGGAGAACTCTAGTGCTCAAGTTGGTTTGGGAAATTATAAATTGCAATATCCACTTCCTCGTTAGCAATGTGGGACAAATGAATTATTATGCTATACTGAGACATCTTAGTTCCCTATTTGCCTGGTTGTATTTACTTTCATGGTATTGTCTGAATTTGGAATTACTCCATGTTCATTTCTCTTCTTTTTAACAGTTTCTAAGATGTGGGCAAAGAAGAACGCTGTTCGTAAAGAACAGGTGGCACAGCTTGTAGATGACATATATAGGTTTGTCTCCTGATTCTTTTGATCTTTGGCATATTTTCATAATATTACTAATAAATTTATTCTTTTTGGCTCTTGTTTATTTTTCAATACGTTTTCCTTGTTTACCAGAAAAATGCAGGTGTCCACTGCCACTGATTTAGCATCAAAGGCGCAGGGGGTCTCAGATAGCAGTAATGTGAAAGTGAAAGTGGAAAATGATGACCGCTCCTTTCAATCAGAGACAAAGATTCGTTGTGTCTGCGGGAATCAATTGGAAACAGAGTCTATGATTCAGGTTGTTATCAGATTTTAGGTTTTGTAACCCTGTGTTTCTTCATCATTTCTTCCCCCCCCTGTTTATGGTTCACATAGAGTTTGCCGCTGACTTTTTAACTTCCCGCGGGTAATTTGTGGTGGTTCTTATAATTGCAGTGTGAGGATAGGAATTGTCAAGTGTGGCAGCATATTAATTGTGTGATAATTCCCGATAAGCCTATGGAAGGAAGTACACCATATCCTGACCCATTTTATTGCGAACTCTGCCGACTTAGCCGTGCTGATCCGTATGTATCACCGCTGTATTCTTGTCATGTAAATAGCATATAGCTGGGCTATAAATAATTTTGGTTTCTTTATTGCTATTCCGCTTGGTGCGATCCATGCATTACATGTTACGAGGATCATTCTGTGTCTCTCTGTATTGGGTTGGAGTTGGGTAAACATGATTACATGATGCCTCGTATCTGTTGGCCATGTAGCCTCGTACCTGTTGGCCATTTTGCTAGCTGCTTACATTCTTAGCATTTTAAATTGCTCTTCAAAGTAGCAACTCAGCAATGACCATGTGAATTGCTATTTATGCCATGTGTTTTTGCACACTTTTATGCTTTATATAAATGCCGGGATATGTCAAGTTGATGAATGTTTGATTCTTGCCCATTTGATTCATAGGTGTACAGAATGCTTGAATACAAATTTAATTCTTTTGTGGGAGAAAACCAGTAGCAAAAAGTTTGCTTATGTTGTTTTTGTCCTTTTTTTTAATAGTTCCTTTATGTGTGTCTGCTGCTTGGACTGCTTCCTCGATCGACTTGTTTTGTTGCTGGCGCTATCTTTTATATATGTATAACTCAAGTGTTCCATAACATTATGTGCAGCTTCTGGCATCAACTTGGGCATCCTTTACCTCCTGTGAAGTTGATTACTACAAACATTCCAACTGATGGGTAGGTGTATCACGTTTTAAGACTCTTGATTATAACTCAACTATGAAACATAAAACATTTATGTTTGTTTTTTCTTTTTAATATTAGTTTTTGATGATTTGAAGCAAGTTACAACTTGAGAATTTAATTATTTAGTGGAAGAAAAATTTAAGTTATCACAACTAAGATTCTCCTGTTGCAAATGGCAAAGTTTGGCACTAGATTGTTCGTTTGCTAATATTGTGATTATTGTGGTGATAAATCCCAGTAATATGAAATTTATTATTCAGAAATATGAAGATATTTTGCGTAAGTTTACCTATAGGTTGCATTAAATTTAATCAATACGGGGTGGGGGAGTTCTTATTTCCTTGACATTGTTCTTAAGAGCAAGCCCATATGTTTTGTGGATTAATTATTTACCGCTAACCCTCTTATAGTTTAACTCTGTAATGGAGTTGAACTTTGGCATAAATGTACAACAGTACCTAACATACAATACCATATAAATATCCTAATATTCAATACCCGGGATTGATACCTTTATTTATTTATGTGTTGTTTTTATTCTAAACAACTTGCGGGTATAAATTATGAACAGAGGAAATAATGCAGGGAACAATCTGAGCAAGAACAATGTTTCCCTATCTGTATATCTGTCTTTAATACACTAGTCTTGTGTTTATCTCGTATTGGGTTTTCTACAATCTTTGTTTTGACCCTTCTGTTTTGCAACTGTGCAGTACCAATCCGGTGCAGAGTGTGGAAAGAACATTTCAACTACAAAGATCGGATAAAGAGCTGACATTAAAACAAGAATTTGACGTTCAGGTTTGCTTGTCTATATCATGATGATTAACAAACGTTATTTTCATTTTTTCGTGTTGGTTTCCTCACACTGACATTTTTGTTCAGGCTTGGTGTATGCTTCTGAACGACAAAGTCTCATTCAGGATGCAGTGGCCACAGTATGCAGATCTTCAAGTCAATGGTATTATGGGTGATATTGGGAGCGTTATGTTGCCTGAAGTACTTTAGAAACACCAAGAAAACCAATATTTTGCATAACTTTGTTGATATTCATAGCCCTAGTTGTAAATTTTGTTTTGTAATCTCCTTTAACCCCCCTATAAACATGAATACACGATATGAGGTTATTTTATATCACTTCCAGTATATTTTATTGTGTTTTAACCTTACAGGTATACCTGTTCGTGCAATTAATAGACCGGGGTCACAACTTCTTGGGGCTAACGGTCGTGATGATGGTCCAATAGTGAGTTTTTTGTCCTATACGAGTGCTGAATCTGTTCTTCCATCTTTTCATGTCCCATTACGTATTCACCCAATCTTTTTATGAGGTGTTTATGTGCAATTGTGCATGATCCAACTCACTCTGATTTCAGTAATAATGATCATCTATCAAGCTGTCTCTTCATGACTTCATTTTAATTTCTTAATTCACTTTATGTTGTTTTGCAGATCACAACATACCTAAAAGAAGGGCTGAATAAGATTTCCCTAACAGGATGTGATGCTCGCGTTTTCTGTTTAGGTGTCCGACTCGTGAAGCGCCAAACTGTTCAAAAGGTACTTCTATTCTTATTTATCTGTACTTTCAGGAAGCTGCATTTGCTATTTTTTGCCCTTATACTCGCTTTCTTTTCCCAAAGAATGTAATTTCTATAGGATCCTATAAATGTTGTTTTTGAAGAAGACTTTGCAAAAGGCATACAAGGCACAAGTTACTTGGTCTCTTCATTCTTCATCAGAATTTGATATGTAAAGCATTTCCGCCAGAGTAGAAGTGTAAAACAAGAGTTCTGTGGAGATTAAGATTCATTAGGAATAATGTTGAATACAATTCCTTACAACCAAAAGAAGAGAGAGAGAGAGAGAGAGAGAGAGAGAGGAGGGTTTTTGACATGTTTTTGAATCAATGTTCTTACGTTATTGTAAATGTCTGGATAAGTTATTGCTGAGTTGCTGGTGTAGTCATATTTGAACTATACTAGGTAATGTTTAGCGATGTGGTGTCTTACATATGTATGGTGTGATTTTCTCTCTCCAGATCCTTAGCTTGATTCCTAAGGAGTCTGAGGGTGAGCAATTTGAAGATGCTGTGGCTCGTGTGCGTCGTTGTGTTGGTGGTGGAACGGCAACGGATGACGCTGATAGTGATAGTGATTTGGAAGTTGTTGCAGATTCTTTTGTTGTTAATCTACGTTGTCCTGTAAGTTGTATATCAGCTTATTCAAATTCTCATGTAGGTACCTTCGATAAAAACACGTGTACACAAGGAAAGCACTGTTTGAAAAATCTATTGGTATTGGCTGGAACAGTCTGTGAAAACCACAACTATTCAGATAAATTCCTACATGAATATACTCTTATTTGGTTATAGTATGGACCTACTGTTTTCTGCAAAATAGTGAACTCTGGGTGGTTGTGGAAGATTGTTCTATGTTGGTCCCTTTCTAAAGCAGTTTTATTTCAAATTGCAATCGGTTTTTGGAGTTATTTTAGATGTGTCTACTTATCCATCTAATTTACAGATGAGTGGCTCGAGGATGAAGGTTGCTGGAAGGTTTAAACCTTGTGCTCACATGGGATGTTTTGATCTTGAAGTTTTTGTGGAATTGAATCAGCGTTCAAGGAAGGCAAGCTACATATAAAATAAAGTTGGTCCATTTGTGCTTTTATCACTTTCCCCCCACCCCCCTCATTTTTTAAAACTTGAGCATTTTTTTTTCCCTGCAGTGGCAGTGCCCTATTTGTCTGAAGAACTATTCTTTAGAGTATATCATCACCGACCCGTATTTTAATCGTATCACTTCGATGGTAATTCATTTCTTAAATGTTTATAATTTTCTCCTTTAAATGCATTTAGGCTTGTCATCGTGGCTTTGTTTTCAATTATGGGGTTTGCTACAGATGAGGCATTGTGGAGAAGATGCAACAGAGATTGAGGTTAAGCCTGATGGTTCTTGGCGGGTAAAGGCTAAAAGTGAAAGTGAACGTAGAGAGCTTGGAGATCTTGGGCAATGGCACTTTCCAGATGGTACTATCTGGCTCCCGGCTGGTGGAGATGTTAAAGCTAAAACAGAGATGAAGCAGGTCAAGCAGGAAGGTATCTCGGACAGTCATCCTGGTTTGAAACTTGGAATCAAGAAGAATAGCAATGGGTTTTGGGAAGTCAGCAAACCTGACGATATGAATAACTCTATTGATAATGGATTACAAGATGGCCTTGGAAACTATGAGCAAAAAGTTATCCCAATGAGCAGCAGTGCAACTGGAAGTTGTAGGGATGGTGAAGATCCGAGTGTAAACCAAGATGGCGGTGGAAATTTCGACTTCACCAATAATGGTGTTGAGATGGATTCTCTCACACTTAATGTTGATTCGATGTATGGAATTACTGAGCAAGCACCACCTGTTCCAATTAGGAATTCAGAAGTTATTGAAATAAGTGATTCAGATGACGACGACTTGTTTATATCTCCTAGATCTGTATACAAGAATCATCCGAATGATGGCAGTGGGGTTCCTTTTTCAGTTTCCCCTCCTGTAATTCCTGATTCGTATGCAGAAGATCCTGCTGGTGGGACGTCATGCTTGGGTCTTTTCAATGGCAATGATGATGAGTTTGGGATTCCGCCGCTATGGCATTTGCCCCCTGGAAATCAAGCAGGTCCAGGTTTTCAATTTTTTGGTTCTGAAGCAGAAGTGTCCGATGCGCTGGTTGATCTACAGCATGGTTCTATCAACTGTTCTTCATCTATGAATGGTTATACATTGGCCCCAGAGACTGTCACAGGATCTGCTCCACTAGTCCAAAATTCTTCTGTTGGTCGGTCAGATACAGATATGAATGACGGCTTGGTTGACAATCCATTGGCTTTTGCTGGTGATGACCCGTCGCTTCAGATATTTCTTCCAACAAATCCTACAAATGCCTCGGCACAGTCTGATTTTAGAGATCGTGCTGATGTGTCGAATGGGGTCCGCACTGAGGATTGGATATCTCTTAGGCTTGGGGGTAGTGCTGGCGGCACTAATGGCGAATCTGCAACTCCAAGTGGACTCAATTCGAAGCTGCAAGTACCAGCCAGAGACGGTGCGATGAATTCTATGGCTGACCATGGTTCGTTCTCTTTTTTTCTTTGATTCGCTATAGATTTGTTTTCTTAAAGATTATATTATGGCTCACACAAGAATGGAGGGCGCAGTTGTTTTTTGTTTTGACTTGTTCTATATGAACTTCCATATCTGGGTCGGATGGTCCTGTATAAAACTTAGAGCCACGCAGAATACTTGACTCTCACCTTCCTTCCCTCTTTAGTTATTTTTTCTATTTTTGTGTGTGTGTGTGTGTGTGTTTTTTTTTTTTTTTTTTTTGAAATGCTCTGTTTTGGTTTCAAAATTATTAGAGCTTAGTGTTCCCCCTATTTGCAGCCTCCTTGCTTCTTGGTATGAATGATGGTAGACCTGAGAAGGGAATTAGGCAAAGATCAGATAGTCCTTTCACGTTTCCTCGCCAAAAACGTTCCGTAAGGCAGAAGTTACTTTCTATCGACTTAGACTCTGAATAGAGGAGTGGACCTTCTTGTGGAGAGCTATCCATGGTCTCATTGGATTATTTTTCTCGGATTGAAAGCAAAAACCTGGAGAACTTTTGTGATCTGCTCATTTGGAGGTCAAATTTTTGTATCTAGAAGTGCGTAAAGGTAGGCATATCTTTGGCTTGTCGAAGATAAGTCTTTAGATGCAACGGCATCCGTGGTGGAAAGAAAAGGTGGAGAACAAGAATGGGGGAACTGAGCTGGCACCTGCAAAATTTCTTGAATCGGTAAGCTCAGAGTTTCCGTCGGCCCTGTCGAGCTTGAAATTCGCCATGTATCTTTTAACAGGCTCATGAATTTTTTCTGCTCTCCAACCGTCTGTCTACGAGGATATGCAGGTCCAGCGCTGGTCTTGTACAGGGATTTGAATCTGAAGGTTGGAATTAATTGGTGTAAGCCTTCGGATTTTGTGGGGGAACCCCATATAGTAATAGCAACAATCTTTTTCTTCTTTTGTTCTCTCTTTTCTTTTCTTTTTACCTGGGGGGGTTGGCCAGAGAAATAGCCTGTAAATGAGGGGATTGCAGAATCAGTTATTTATATAAATATTATTCTTTTCATATGAATACTTTTGCCTCGAGTTCTCCCTTACTCTTGGCTGTTTTGTGATCCTTCCTGTTCTCTCCCTAACATGATTGAAAATTACACTTCCAAATAAAAGAAAAAAACATTATTGAAGATCACATATGAAACACGCCCTATTAGTTGCCCACTTTAATGAAACTTGTGCTAATTAATATCGGTTTCCATTATAGCATTGAAATGAGCAATGAAAGAAAATGGAAGGCACATAAGCGGAAGCATAAGTTTTTTAGACGACAAAGCTTTTTCTTTCCGTTCTCCTTTTCACTTACCCCCACCCCACCACCACCACTCAAACTAAATGAGGGAATGTTGCCAACTTAAATGGAATACAATGTGAGAGAGATTGTATTGGAAATCAAAGAAAAAGAATAGGAGAGAGTTCATTGATTTCCTTTCCAATGTTTATTTTTTGAAACCTTTTTAGCAAGCTTAAGAATAAGAATCTTAAGATTTTTTTCATAATCTCAAAATGCGAGGCATCAAAATAAGAAAACAGAACATTTTTACTTTTCTTATCCTGTATTATCTACACGTCACCATTTTAGCTTTCCTCGTTCCAGAAGTAGACACTAGAATGGGTAAAAGAAAGGAAAAAAAAAAAAAAAAAGAATAAACTAAGATTTCCGATAGCGTTTTTGCCACAT